ACAACGTGCTGCTTTTTTTGCCAGGAGCACCATGCATATTCCAACAAGACACTGCAAAACCACATTCTGCACACATTACAAAGTCCTGGCTGAGGAGGGAGAGGATACAGGTACTCGACTGGCCTGCCTGCAGTCCTGACCTGCCTCCAATAGAGAATGTGTGCCGCATTTTGAAGAGCAGATCCCAACAACAAAGACCTCGCATTGTTACTCACTTTAAGACTTGTTTGCAGGTAGAATGGGACAAAACTACACCTGAAACTCTTCATCACTTGCTGTCTTCAGTCCCTAATCGTCTTTTAAGTGTTGTGAAAAGGAATGGCCACATTACAAAGTGGTATGATGCATTTCATTCATTGATGTCCACTCCAGGATTGAGTAACACAAGTTTCTTCAGATTTAAGCCTGCCTTGTTTCTTCCTCAATAGAAATTTTTATTATTAATTACTACTAATAGTAAGGAAATAAGTGATGTACAGGGTGGGCCATTAAATGGATACACCGTAATAAAATGGGAATGGTCGGTGATATTAATGTCCTGTTTGTGGCACATTAGTATATGTGAAGGAGGCTTGTAAATAACTCACAAAAGAAAAAAGTTATGTTGAAACCAGGCCTGGATTGGCTAATCAGGAGGACCGGGAGAATTCCCGGTGGGCCGTTCCGTTTTTTTGGCCGCGAGGGCCGGTGTCCCTAGCTCCAGAATCTGTTGCTCTCAGCAGTCACACTTTATAAATTAATTAATTAATTTACTTGACCACAGTCTTCTTATTCATTATTTTACCGCAGCTCTGCTCTTTTTATCTATTTTCTCGTAGCCTCGTGAGCATCATGCAGCCTGCAGGTTGATGATATAACTCAGATGAGTCACTGTTGTGGTCCAGTGGTTAGCACGTTAGGTTACGACGTCGCCGACCCGGGTTTGATCCTCGTCGAGTAATTTATTTTTTTCATTTTTATTGTTAAGACATATAATACTCTTAGGGTTGTTGAACATTTGAAGTTCTAAAGCAGCTGCTTTCTCAAAAAAACAAAAATAAGACGTGATAGTGTAATTATAAACTGAATTGGAAATTACCTTATTTTAATATAGTCAGTCGTGAACTGAGGTGGGCCGGTCTGAGGCTTAAAACTCCAGGGCTGAAAAGGAGTCCCACTCCGGCCCTGGTTGAAACCGAGCACACCATTGTTTTACTTGTGAAATTCCCAATAGGTTTATTAAGATGTATCCATAGAAGTGGCCCACCTTGTATATTTGCATGTTCAGTTTGCAGACAGCGTTCCCTGTTTAACAATTTAAAGTTAAATATCAAGTCATTAAATTCTTTTCAGGTGATTATTTTAATCTGTGCAACATGAAATAAACAAATCAATTCATTTAAAGGGTCACGAAACACCAAAACACATGTGTTTGAGCTGTTGACAGTCGTATATGTGTCCCACACTGCTAAAAACACTATTAGGACACCTATATTTCACTAAAAAGTGTAAATTGGTTGTTTTTGTGTTATTTCAAGCAAATTCGTACTTCCGGTTTGAAACAAATTTTTGAAGCTGCGTCACGGTCATGAGATAATAGCGTGTATTCCAGCGTGCAGACTGGACGTCTGTGCCAGAGTGTGTCTTATTACGTCTTACAGTGTGCTGCATTAATGCATGAGTAAGGCTTGGTTCAAACCAATCAGCGCGCTCTATTGTGCAACTTCATTAATATTCATTACTATCACCGTGTTTTCAGGACAGAGACGCCACGTTGTGTTGGCAAAACAAGCGTGAAGTGTTGCTTTTATAGTTTGCTGCAGTTCAGTTTTGTTTTCATTTTCTCTCTGTGAGAGCTCAGCTGGAGTCACGTGTGGATTAACAGTGTACGCGACGCTCGACAACAATAACTTACGTGTCTAAGGAGGATTATTGTTTACCTGAGAGCTGTTCTCATCTGCAAACGCTGAGATCCAGATTCGCTTGTAGTCTCCTCTTAATAAAGACGCGGCTCTAGTTGCTGGTGATTGTCCTGTCTCTACAGATTTGGTAAGTGAGCGACCAGTGCTCTTTGTTTATTCAGTTTGTTCGTATCTAACAAACTATTGCACCGAGTGTAAACATGTTAGCACCACAACCAAACTTTAACCTCGTGTAGGGTTTTTACCGCATTTAGTGACCGGAATAACACACGCGGCTTTTTGACACTACCTGTCGTGTGCATCTAAGTTTCTGGGAAATGCAGAGGTTTTTTTTTCTCTCATTCGCCGTGCGGTATCAAACATTGCATGAAAAATACACGCTTAGAGCAGTTCCTCCAATCAAATATCTTGTTTGTCGCGAGGGGCATGAATAAATTCCCTGAATGAAAGAGCCAAACTGCAGTTAAAGTCCACCATTTAATAATTTGCCAAATAATTCGACTACAGATGTCCATGTAAACAGTCACTTTCTCCCCTGTTTGTGTGTGTATTTTGACTCTGAAACTCAGCAGGTGCCTAAATAGACACTCCCACACCATCCCACTTTAGTTCCTCCGACACTCCTCCCTTAACAGAGCTGGACACGCCCACTTTTCTGACTTTTTCCAAAGTAGAGGTGTGAAAACACCCTGCTGAAACGAGGGGGTTTCATGGCCCTTTAAACACACACACAACCTGATATACAGACATCTAAAGGGACTGATAAGTGCCATTATGCCTCATCTTAGTGTGAATCCATCAGAAAAGGGACAGGGGGTCTGACATAAGAAGTGCAGTGAAAAAAACACACTCAGTAGCTATGTTTCCATCCAAAAATGCGAATAAATTTTATGCGCAAAACTGGATTATCGCATAAAAGTTGTACGAATGTAGCAGCATTTCCATCCAACGAGTCAAAGCAAAGAAAATCGTCACTTCCTGATTAACTGGCGCCAAATATCAACAGTAAAAACTGCAGTAGGAGAAGCTGCATCAATCTTTTCTAAATGAATGCGCCTCAGAAGACAATCCTGACAAGCAGTGAGCGCGCAGTGGCGTTTGAAGGTGTCAGACGCGGAGCACAGGGGCTCTTGATTCTGGAGGTCATTAATAATATAATAACATTAATACAGAAATGGTTAGGCGTTTTATAATGACCAAAACAACATTTCAGATGTTTTATAATGTGCTCAGCCTGACGTTTTATCCATTCACACTCATTTTAAGCATCACATGATCTCTTTTAACAAAATCACATTACCTTTTTTAATGCGCATGTAACAAATGCTGGATAGGTTGGCGGTTCATTCCGCTGTGACGACCCCTGCAGGGCTCAACAATAAGGACTGCCCGATGTCCCAGGGTCTGCGTGAGAGATGCTCGGGACAGTAGACAGAACCATGGCCTGATCAGGGTAGTCCTGCCTTGTCACTAAATTTTAATAGACGGCAGCATAACCGCAACATCAAATTATGAGGCTAAAAGAAAACGTCTGTTTCTAACGTTGTGGAAACATTTAAATGGGAACAACACAACAACAACAAAAAAAATGACGTGATGTCTTGCATAGTTTGCCATCACTTTTAAGTCAGCTATGGAAGTTTTTTCCTATCAAAATTAAAATGAAAATTCAAATGCTTAAAAGATCAAATGATAAATCAAATGCTCAAACTATAAATCAAATGCTCAAACCGACATTGCAAATGATAAATCAAATCCTCAAACCGACTCCTCAAATGATAAATCAAATCCTCAAACTGACATCGCAAATGATAAATCAAATCCTCAAACCGACTCCTCAAATGATAAATCAAATCCTCAAACTGACATCGCAAATGATAAATCAAATCCTCAAACTGACATCGCAAATGGTGAATCAAATCCTCAAACTGACATCGCAAATGGTGAATCAAATGCTCAAACTATAAATCAAATCCTTAAACCGACATTGCAAATGGTGAATCAAATGCTCAAACAACTCTGCAAATGGTGAATCAAATCCTTAAACTGACATCGCAAATGGTGAATCAAATGCTCAAACAGACATCGCAAATGATTTGTTGTTGACAACAACCGGTAGCGCTACGACTTTTTCAAGGCGTTCAGATTTGCGTGCACTATTCCATGTCGTATCCGTATAAACTCGTGAAAGAGAAAGCGAGAAATCTCCTACTGCTTCTGTCCACATTCTGAAGTGTTCATCAGATGGGTACATCTATCACAGGAGGCCACGAAAAACCATACGGCAAGATGATAAAAAAAAGTTACATAACTGACGTTACAAGCGCAACTTTAAATAAATGGCAGGTTTATTAAATCTTAATTTAAAATAATATTTTATTACATAAGATATCCTTGTCAAATTTCACCCAATTTGTTGTTACCTTTATTGTGTAACATTTTTTATCCACGTGTAGAACATGCTTAAAGTTAGTTTTCCAGTCTTGTTTGATTATATAATCATATATTCTTATATCAAAAGAAAATCTATTACATTTGTTCTCTTTTTGCTGTTTATGTTAATTGTTAAGATACAGCAATGTTTCCCCAAGCCTGTATGAAATTTTTATTTCTGCATAATAATGATTAATAATAATTGTTATTGATAACAATCCCATAATAATACAAATAAAATAGCAGGGACAGAAGCAATAACACCTATTACCATCAGTAACTTGATAACCCTACCTGATAGCCTTTCTAATGTTGGCACATTGGTACATCTGCACAAAGATGTCGGACAGCTGCTTGAAGATATCCCTTTGGAGAAATTTTACACTCGAAAAATGTAAGTATTTACTCTAGACTGCAAAGCCCACCCCAACACTTACAAAAATAATAAATGCTGTTCACACACACACACACACACACACCACAGCTATGCATGAATAGTCACTAGACAAATGTAGCCAAGGTGAGTACATCTTAATTTTCAGTCAAAAAATGAAATAATGTAGTTATACATTATTGAAATTATTAATCAACAATTAAAGAAAATATGGATGTATGATTAAAAGAATTAATAATAGTAACCATGATAAATAAATACAAGTCAACAAGATACGAAACTAAGCTTTATTCAAACTTATTCAAACAATCATGTATTTCAGACAAAACCCCATGTTCTGCTGCATGCTGGACTTCACTTGTTTTTGCCATCACATCCCTCAGTGCTGCAGTCAGACTGGAACAGAGTTGTGAGGTGAGGCTGTCCATGCCTGAGAAACCGATTCATACTGAAGATGAAGAGACCACACCAGTATCTGGCTCAGATGAGGACACGCAGGCAGGTGGAGGGATGCAGGGTCTTGTCCATGGCACTACAGCATCTTCAACATTTCCTTCATCAGCACACTGCTGTTCTTCATCATCATCACTGCACACACCAGTCTGAGGACATTTCAGATTATACAAAGCTCTTAATAAAGAAGTCATTTAACAGCACACTTTTTGAGTTTCATTTGAGTTCTGAATTGGAAGTAATAACATGATCTTACTTCATGTTTTGAATTCAGGTTTTCTCTGTTTTCTTGCCTTGCAAGTCCTGCTCCAGCCCAGAAATGGCATATAAATCAACATTAAAGAAATTGTTGTAATAGCGGTTTGAAACAACAATATTTTGTTAAACAAATATGATGGTAGCATTTGTTCAGTCACTCTGCATCAGCTAACACACAAACATGTGTGCTTCCTTCTCTATCACAACCAGACAAGTCACGTTACCTCTGTGATTTGTGTGCTCAAATTATACTTTCATAAATGTATCACCAACTGAACAGAAGAAAACATTACTGTATTAATATTACATGTATCTCACCTAAGCTGTATTGACAAAAGTGCATTCTACATCAGCACAAACAAATCACTCAGACGTCTGTTTAATGTTATAATTTGCTAATCTGCAATACCTCCTATATTTTTCTGTCAGACATTGAATAATCGTCTTTATGTAACGTTTGAAACGTAACGTTATGTGCTTACAGAAGTTCCTACGTGATAATTTACAGCAAGATAAAATAAATATACTGTAAATCTTTACACTTTCAGTAATTCTACAGTTCACTGTACAGTAGCTCAACTATCGCTATTTTACTGTAACTTAACTCAAGGAACCGTCTTTCTGGATTTAATTACTTACATGTAAGATGTCTAAATCCATCCAGTTTTCCACATTGTGACGTAGCATCATCATCTTGCCGTATGGTTTTTCGTGGCCTCCTGTGATAGATGTACCCATCTGATGAACACTTCAGAATGTGGACAGAAGCAGTAGGAGATTTCTCGCTTTCTCTTTCACGAGTTTATACGGATACGACATGGAATAGTGCACGCAAATCTGAACGCCTTGAAAAAGTCGTAGCGCTACCGGTTGTTGTCAACAACAAACTCTTCCGCCTTAAAGCTCCGCCTATGCTGGTTGATTGACACCTCATTTGCATTTGATTTATCATTTGCGATGTCTGTTTGAGCATTTGATTCACCATTTGCGATGTCAGTTTAAGGATTTGATTCACCATTTGCAGAGTTGTTTGAGCATTTGATTCACCATTTGCAATGTCGGTTTAAGGATTTGATTTATAGTTTGAGCATTTGATTCACCATTTGCGATGTCAGTTTGAGGATTTGATTCACCATTTGCGATGTCAGTTTGAGGATTTGATTTATCATTTGCGATGTCAGTTTGAGGATTTGATTTATCATTTGAGGAGTCGGTTTGAGGATTTGATTTATCATTTGCAGAGTCAGTTTGAGGATTTGATTTATCATTTGCAATGTCGGTTTGAGCATTTGATTTATAGTTTGAGCATTTGATTTATCATTTGATCTTTTAAGCATTTGAATTTTCATTTTAATTTTGATAGGAAAAAACTTCCATAGTCAGCCACCATTTGTTTAGCAATAAAATACCTGCACATTTTCCATACTGCTATATTTCACTGCTAAATATTTTAACATTTTTCAAATGTTTAAATTCTACATTCACAGATATTATTTTGTGACGCATTCTTTAATATATGTGGCTAATAATTAGCAATTAACCTTTAATTTCTTCGGTGGGGCCAGTGAAAATCTTGGCAGGGCAAGTAAAAATTTGAACCACTGGTCCAATCGGGCCAGTTGAAAAAACCCTTAGCGTTGAACCCTGCCCTGATTAATAAAGAGACTAAGCTGAAAAGAAAATAAATGAGTGAATATTAAAGTGACAAATCAATACTTGTTAGTGGTTAAATGTATAATAGATGTTAATTCTTTGGGTTATTTATAAACCCACATTACTCCCATCAAAGTAGCTTAAATATCAAACAGATACAAGTCTAGAATTTGACAGAAGCAGAATTATGGAAAACAAATCATTTTTGATCACAAAACAAACATTAAAGCAGCTTTAATTTATAATCAACATAGTTAATAAAGCAGCATGGACTTTATTATAATGCTGGGTTCACATCAAACACAAAGCACATTTCATACAGTGAACAGGCCTACCATTAAACATTATAAACCTTCACTATTAAAACAGAAACATTCATTATAAACCACAAAGCCACTTTCAGACCACAAAACCTTTCTCTGTTGCTGAGTGAATGACTTGCAGGCAGCCAATCAGTATTCGCGACGCCACTCATAGCAGCCAATCAGCATTCGCTGAGCCACACACAGGCTAATATCCCGCCTCGGCGCTCAGTGTATGAAGTGGATGGAGTATGAGTCGGATCGCTGATGAATGCTAAACTTTGCCGTTTGCTGTATAATTATTCTTCTATTACGGGTGTTGTGCGTCTTTTCAAAGTAAGTGTATTATATCTGACTTCTGTAGCGTTCACGAGTGTGATATGTTTAACTTTGCTGCCGAATATCTCTTCAGCAAAATATCTTACCTCTATTAGCTGCTAATGTTATCTGTGTAGCTTTATTCATTTCATTTTCTAGTGTAATCTACTGGTTGTTTCTGAAATGTGTTTTGCACAGATATAATATTTGACAGATAACGTGTTCTAATGTTTGTTCATTAATAATGTTTCTCGCTTCAGGTTTTGTTGAGATTTTGAATGTCTTTTGTCCGCTAAAACTACTTTATTTTGATTTCAGACCTTAACAATAATGAGATTGTGTGAACACATTGAAGTGAAGATGATGAATTTCTCATTTAAACACCTCATTTACTGACTGGAGGTATTTTTAATAATAAGAAGAGACAATATTTGTTTCTTCTGCACTCAGTGTGGGTAGAGATTGATTGAGAATCTGTGTATTATATCTGACTATTGTAACATTCGCGACTATCCCGCGGTTTGATCTGCATTGAAGATGCTGTATGAGAACTATGATAATGCTAACTTTAGCCTAATAGCTTTGAAAACACTTGTCCCTCCCTTCTGTCCAAGGAAATGCCTCCAGAAGTCATGAATGTGCAGCAAATAGATGACCATAGACAACATTATAACACTACTAGATTGTGTCCTTCACCAGTTAGACAACTTTATAGTACTTCATAATACTACAAACTGTATTATATCTTGCTCATTTTTAGTTGTGTAGCAAGCAAAACTTGTCATAATGTGACTTAACTATAGAGACGCATTGTCCAAATTAAGCATAGTTGTTGACAGGCCAGCGGGGTGCAGGAATTATATCTAATACTTTCCCCAAAGCTAGCATTGGGGGTAAGGTTGATTTTATATTTGCACATTCAGACCTTCGCCTTAATAATATCTTTTAAGTAAGTGTCGTTTGCAGATTCTAAATAAGGAAATCCTATTAGCAGACAATGCCCACAGGGAATCTGCGCGCGGAGAATACAGTAATATTTTCTGTCTTTTAGTAGAGATACTTAATAAAAGTCTTGCTTTGTTTACCAAATAAAGTGGATCTAATCGGGTTTGCATTGTGAATATTAAATACCAGTTAAAAGGTATTACTTTTTGTTTCATATATTAAGTTTTTAGTTATGATACTTCCAAAATCATTCCGCATAAATCCACAGATTTTTAACAAAATTCTTTACAGAAATGGCAAAAAAATGATGCAGATTCTGTCTGGCCCTACTTACCGCCCAGACCTAGAACCTGCAGTTCACAAACAGAACCTAGAGAAGCGTCATACTGCTCTGTAGCCTTCAATTTACCCAGAAACTGCAGTCAAAGATGTGTTGAAGAACTTTTTGTCTTTCACAAAAATGTAGGCTGAAGCATGTCCAATGAGCCTGCCTCTAACCTCTAAAAATTAAACCGCTTCTAATGCTTAAAATTTATTCATTTTATTTAATTTTTTTATTACATTTTTAAAAAGTCTGCAGAAACACTTTTATTGACATTCTCCCTTTGTACATGTCATATTCAATTTTAGGTTATGATACTCCCAATATAATTATGCATAAATCTGCAGGTTTTTACCGAAATTCTGTGCAGAAATAGCAAAAACTGTCTGCCGACCTTAAGTCTGGCCCTACCTATGAAAGTACAACATGTCCAGGCAATTAAAGGTGCAGTGTAGGTGACCAAAATGCTGACCAGTTAGCATATTATCTTTGGACGGCAGGGTTAGTTAGGGCTACTTATCCGAGTAATGAGAGATGTCGGCCAGACAATATTTAATTGGATGACCACTTTTTGTCTGTTATGCCTCACCAAGAATATAAATATATACATATAAACACTTTAATCATTACTGCTGGACTGTGAAGAGATTTTCAACCTGCACAACAACACATGTTTCTGAAGACAATCACTTACTGCACTTACCTCTGCGGGGCTGAAACCAGCGACCTTCTCCCTGTGGGGCTAATGTGCTACCAACTGCGCCACCATGAGGCCACTGAGTGTTTAATTCTAACATATTATGCAGAATATAAAAATACATATAAATTAATTCGTTAAATATTTTACTTTTCCTTGGTTACTAATGTTATCTGTGTACCTTTCATTCATTTGTATTTCTAGTGTAATTTACTAAGAGAAGTTTATTTATAAACAAATTTCGAGAGGATCACGTGCCTATGATTGTTCACAGCTGTTCTAACTTTAGCTAATGACTGATTATCCTATCAGACGATCCTTAACTCACTATAAATAACCAGACTTTTCTCATCTCAATATCTTCGTCTTGAAGAACCCCCCCACCCAACCCTACTTTCCCTCCTTTCAAACGGGCGTCACGGTGGCCAGCGATTAGCGCTGTTGCCTCACAGCAAGAATGCCCCTGGTTTAATTCCTTTCCAAACCAGACGGCATTTCTGTGCGGAGTTTGCTCGTTCTCCCCGTGGTCGCGTGGGTTTTCCCCGGGTCCTCCGGTTTCCTCCCACAGTTCAAAAACAAGCACCCTAAACAATTAATCCAAATACATTAGCTAAACTCTGAGTACACCTTTCAGCATCCATATCCGACACTTAGCTACAACAAGCAAGAGGGGAGTTATCGAGATCTACCTGAGCTCAAACTCCCCTCTCGCCTTGCAACGGGAGGGAGCCCAGGGCTCGAGGATCTTATAAGCTCAGGGCTCTCTCCCGGGACAGCACGCCAAACTAGCTTTACTATCAATCATCAGCTAAGTGTGAACTCTTGAACTGGTTGTTTTAGAAATAAGCTTTGCACAGATATAATATCTGACAAAATAACATGCTGCGATGTTTGTTTATTTATCTGATGTTTCCATTTTTTCTCTTCACATTTTGCTCATATTTGAATGTGTTTGTCTGCTAAAACAACTTTATTTTCTTTGATTTCAGAAGAACGAGATTAGAAGCGGAGATGATGAACTAGTTAAGGTTGGAAATACCTTGCTAAGTTTTTTTTTTTTATGAAAAGAAGAGACAAGATTGTTTTTCGCCTGCACTCAGTGTCGAAAGGAATCGATTGGGATGCAAAGTAGCCGTAAGATTTACAAGATGGTCCGCACTGGAGAGAAACCAATCACATGTACCCAGTGTGGGAAGAGTTTCTCACAATCATCAAACCTTAATAGACATATGATGATCCACACTGGAGAGAAACCACACACATGTACACAGTGTGGAAAGAGTTTCACACAGTCATCATCGCTTAATAAACACATGATGATCCACACTGGAGAGAGACCATTTATATGCACTCAGTGTGGTAAGAGTTTCACACGATCCTCAAACCTTATTGAACACATGTTGATTCACACTGGAGAGAAACCTTTCACATGCACCCAGTGTGGAAGGAACTTCAGACAAGCAGCACACCTTAATCAACACATCGTGATCCACACTGGAGAGAAGCCACACAGATGTGATCAATGTGGTAAAACATTTGCAAGGCGTTCATTTCTGAAGTTTCATCTAAGAGTTCACACAAATGAGAGACCGTATTCATGTTCTGTGTGTGGAAAGAGCTGTACACGGCAGTCGAGTTTAAGAAAACATCAGAAGATCCACACTGGTGTGAGAGAGCATGTCTGCTTTGAGTGTGAGAAGACTTTCGTTACAGCTGATGATTTGAAACGGCACCAAAGGATTCACACTGGAGAGAAACCGTACATGTGTTCACACTGCGACAAGAGATTCAGTCAGAGTGGAAGCCTGAAAGCACATGAGAGGACTCACTCTGTAATCTGCTAGCCTGACTTGTATGTTTTGTTCCTTTAATCATTCCTCATGATAACCAGTTGTTTTCTAGAGAGTCTTTAAATAGTCTTTAAAAAGGGCTTCGCATCAGGCAGTGTGCTTCTTCACAAAGTCCTCCTGTAGCTTTAAAGGACTCCTATCACGCCAAATCAACTTTCGGGAGCTGTTTGGACAGAACTGGAGTGATTTAAAGCTCTTGCACTTCTGTGATGCACCATTAATGTGGAAAGGATTTTGGAGCACAACGTGCTGCTTTTTTTGCCAGGGGCACCATGCATATTCCAACAAGACACTGCAAAACCACATTCTGCACACATTACAAAGTCCTGGATGAGGAGGAAGATGATACAGGTACTTGACTGGCCTGCCTGCAGTCCTGACCTGCCTCCAATAGAGAATGTGTGCCGCATTTTGAAGTGCAAATCGCAACAATGATGACCTTGTATTGTTTCTCACCTTAAGACTTGTTTGCAGGTAGAATGGGACAAAACTACACCTGAAACTCTTCATCACTTGCTGTCTTCAGTCCCTAATCGTCTTTTAAGTGTTGTGAAAAGGAATGGCCACATTACAACGTGGTATGATGCATTTCATTCATGGATGTCCACTCCAGGATTGAGTAACACAAGTCCTTTCTTATGTCTTTACTACTGTATATACACAGATTTGGCTGACTAGTTGATAATGATTAAAGCTTTTGCCACAGAAGTATCTGAAAATCCCCCTGTTTACTCGTTCACTGTAAACAATATACTGATTTTACAAGTAAGGCACAGAAAGTGAGGGCTTTATCATGAATATTGATGCCGTTCTCACTCTTGATAAAGACCGGCCTCTAGTGGGTCATCAGTGTGACTGTGTGAATGAAGAGACCCAGAACATGAGCTTCTGTGTTTGTCTTTATTTACAGTTTCATTTTAGTCCACAATATAAATAATGATGGTCAAAGCCTCACAGTGATCTGAACATTTACATTACTCTCTACCAAGTTTCTTCAGATTTGAGCCCCTGCCTTGTTTCTTCCTCAAGAGAAATTATTATTATTGTTTACTACTAATAGTAATAAAATAATTGATGTATGTTTGCATGTTTATTTTGTGGACAGCTTTCCCTATTAAACAATTAAAAACTAAATTTCACAAAACAAACATTAAAGCAGCTGTAATTTATAGTCAACATAGTTTATAGAGCAGCATGGACTTTTATTATAATGCTGGATTCACATCAAACACAAAGCACATTTCATACAGTGAACAGGCCTACCATTAAACATAATAAACCTTCACTATTAAACCAGAAACATTCATTATAATCCACAAAACCCCTTTCAGACCACGAAACCTTTCTACTCGCTAAGCACACGCAGAGGCAGCCAATCGGCATTCGTTGAGCAACACAGCAGCCAATCAGCATTCTGTGAATAACAAAAAGCAGCCAATCAGCATTCGCTGAGCCACACACAGGCTAATATCCCGCCTCGGCGCTCAGTGTATGAAGTGGATGGAGTATGAGTCGGATCGCTGATGAATGCTAAACTTTGCCGTTTGCTGTATAATTATTCTTCTGTTACGGGTGTTGTGCGTCTTTTCAAAGTAAGTGTATTATATCTGACTTCTGTAGCGTTCACGAGTGTGATATGTTTCACTTTGCTGCCGATTATCCCTTCAGGAATTAGGAAAACATCTTACCTTTAATAGCAGCTAATGTTATCTGTGTAGCTTCATTCATTTGTGTTTCTAGTGTAATTTACTGGTTGTTTTGGAAATATGTTTAGCACAGAAATAATATCTGTCAGATAACATACTCTTATGTTTATTCATTATGTTTCCAGGTTTTTTTCTCTACATATTTTGATCTGAATGAAACAAATCTACATTTATTGACACAGTTTGGGACACCTATCATCATTTTCGGCCTGAAATGTCAAATTCGAACATTTATTAGTCCAGTTTTTATCCAGAATATAAAAATCTAGATCATTTACTTTAATCATTACTGTCGGAATGTGAAGAGATTTTCAACCAGCACAAAGAAAATGTTTCTGAACACAATCACACATTGCACCTTTACCACTATGAACATTTTTTGGTATCTGGTGGTAACTATTCATGTATCCTAATTAAGCACGAGTAAAATGGGTGGCACAATGGCCTCACAGCAAAACAGCCTTGGCCGAGGCTCGAACCAGCAACCAGGCCACTGAATGTTTAACTTGATGAACATATATTAGTCCTCTATACCTTATGCAGATTATAAAAATACATATAAATGAATATATTAAATATTTTACCTTTACTCAGTTGCTAATGTTATCTGTGTATTCATTTGTATTTCTAGTGTAATTGAGTTACATGGAGTTTCACCAAACTGGTGGTTTCGGAAATATGCTTTGCACGGATATAATGTCTGACAACATAACATACTGTAATGTTTGTTTATTTATCTAATGTTCCCAGTTTCTTTTCACTTCACATTTTGTTCATATTTGAATGCGTTTTGTCTGCTAAAACAACTTTTATTTTGTTTGATTGCAGAAGGAGATGCAAAGCAGCCGTAAGGTTTACAAGATGGTCCACACTGGAAAGAAACCATTCACATGTACGCAGTGTGGTAAGACCTTCACACAGTCATCATCCGTTAATAGACATATGATGATCCACACTGGAGAGAGACCGTTCACATGCACACGGTGCGGTAAGAGTTTCACACGATCATCAAACCTTAATGAACACATGATGATCCACACCGGAGAGAAACCGTTCAGGTGTAATCAGTGTGGGAGGAACTTCAGACAATCGTCGCACCTTTATCAACACATGGTGATCCACACTGGAGAGAAGCCACACAGATGTGATCAATGCGGTCAAACATTTACAAGGGGTTCACTTCTGAAGATCCATCTAATGGTTTCTCATTCAAATAATAATCCGTATTCATGTTCTGTGTGTGGAAAGAGCTGTACACGGCAGTCGAGTTTAAGAAAACATCAGAAGATCCACACTGGTGTGAGAGAGCATGTCTGCTTTGAGTGTGAGAAGACTTTTGTTACAGCTGATGATTTGAAACGGCACCAAAGGACTCACACTGGAGAGAAACCGTACATGTGTTCACACTGCGGCAGGAGATTCAATCAGATATGTAACCTGAAAGCACATGAGAGGACTCACTCAGTAATTTGCTAGCCTGACTTGCATATATTGTTTTTCTTTTAGCGTTTCTCATGATAACCAGGGCCTGGTTTTTCAAAAGGTTTAATCCGGATAAAATTGATGTGGATTTAGTAATCCTTTTTTTGTGATCACGTAATCCAGATTAGTTTTTAGAGCCAGTTTTTCAAAGCAACATTGGATTGGATCAATCTGATCTGGATAGGAACTTTTTAGGATCACTAAATCTGGATAACCAATGCTCAATAGTGATGGGAAGTTCGGATCATTTTACTGACTCGGATCTTTGAGTCTAGTTGATCGAGATGAACGAATCTTTTTGAGTTTTTTCGTTCATTTGGTTCAATTTGCCAAAATAATATTAAAATGTTACGAATTGCTTTCAAACACATCTACAACTAGCCTAAAAGGTCGATCACACGACAAATAAGTCATAACTAGAATACTATAAGAAGGAGAAAATAATAATTCAATGTTTACCTGCTCTTCTGTCTATGAAGGTATTGTCGTCTCTTTGCTCAGCTCACCTCTTCATGTCTTCAAATGTCAGGGGTTCATTCACGTTACACTGACAGTCACATATAATCTTAACCAATGTACACAGTCTGAGCCTATAAGAGCCATGATGATTAGTTCACCTTTCGAGTCTTCGGGTTCTTGAGTCGTTCGTTCATCACATAACAGAATGAATCGAACCCCAAGGACTCGAGAGATGAACGGATCATTTCTTTTTCCGGCTCTAAACGCATATGATTGGCCCGTAATGAACGAATGACTCAAACCCGATAGAGGACTCTAGAGATGAACAGATCAATTCTTTTTCCGGCTCTAAACGCATATGATTGACTTCTGCCTGATGAACGACTCAAAAGACTTTAAATGAACGATACCACCTGCACAAATGTGCGCACGCGCGGATGAACGAATCACTCCCTGAGAGGATTCACTCAGTAATCTGCTAGCCTGACTTGTATGTATTGTTTCTTTAATCATTCCTCATGATAACCAGTTGCAGGGCTCAACAATAAGGACTGCCTGGTGTCCCATGGCCAGCGTGAGAGAAGCTTGGGACAGTAGACAGGATAATTACTGGCCCGATTGGGACAGTGCTGCCACTGCAACATTTAATTGGTCTGCGACTATTTGTCAATTGCGTGCATTTTAAGTTTAGTCTTTAAACACTGCCTTCTCTGTGATGTCGTTAACACCATATTGCTTTTTGGTTCCTCTTGTCTGATTTGATGCTTTGAGCATGCTATTTTTTTCCGTAACCTGGTAACAGCCAGTACAGCGAAGAAACAGCAACATCGAATAATAAGGCTAAAAGAAAATGTCTGTTTCCAACGTCTTGGGAGCAGACATTTACGTGTGAACAATGCGACAAACAAAAGTGATTAAAAAAAAGGGATGTTTTGCACGGTTTGCCATCAGTTTGACAAGTCAGCCACCTTTTGTTAAATAATTTCGAACCACAATAAAATACCTCCACATTTTCCCCTGCTCTTTTTGTTTGGAAAGCACTTTTATTAACATGTTTTTTAAGTATTGAAATTCTAGATTCACTTTATTTTTGACACATTATTTGAAATATGTGGCAAAAAAATAGCTTTTTTTTGGTGGGGCCAGTGAGAATTTGGCAGGGCAAGTAAAAATCTGAACCAGTGGCCCGATCGGACCAGTAGAAAAAATCCTTAGCGTTGAACCCTGAGTTGTTTTCTAGAGAGTTATTATCTGTCTTTAAATAGTCTTTGCAACAAGGGCTTAGCATCAAGCAGTGTGCTTCTTCACAAAGTCCTCCTGTAGCTTTAAAGGGCTCCTATCAGGCCAAATCAACTTTCGGGAGCTGTTTGGACAGAACTGTAGTGATTTAAAGCTCTTGCACTTCTGTGATGCACCACTAATGCGAAAAAGTACAGAGAGATTCTGGAGCACAACATGATGCCTTTTTGCCAGGGGCACCATGCATATTCCAACAAGACACTGCAAAACCACATTCTGCACACATTACAGTCCTGGATGAGGAGGAAGAGGATACAGGTACTCGACTGGGCTGCCTGCAGTCCTGACCTATTTCCAATAGAGAATGTGTGCCGCATTTTGAAGTGCAAATCGCAACAAAGAAGACCTCGCATTGTTGCTCATCTTAAGACTTGTTTGCAGGTAGAATGGGACAAAAATACTCCTGAAACTCTTTATCACTTGCTGCCTTCAGTCTTTAATAATCTTTTAAGTGTTGTGAAGAGGAATGGCCCACATTACAAAGTGGTATGATGGCAAGGATTTGAATGTTGCGTGCCCACTCCAGGATTGAGTAACACATGTTCTTTCTTATGTCTTTATGATTAATAATTAAATTGAATGTTGCATTGCTTTTCCTGTATGCCAAATGATTTGTTTTCTCAGGATCTACCCAGCCAGGTCAGAGGTCATGGAGATCTCTTGAGTGGACCTGGACTCCTGATGACTGGAAACAACGGTTTCTATTGTTATTTCCATTTGTGTGTTAATACTCTTATTTTATTTTTGATTCCTCTTCATGCTAGACAGTTTGTGTAGTGAAAATACAGCAGCCTGCTGATTTTACTAGTTTGATAAGACCGCTGAGAATCAAAGAAACTACCTTGAGCTTTTACAGATTGTTCTTTAGCTGTGGATATGCGTCAAAGGGGTCAGCACTACCCCTAAATTCAGCTTTGAATAGTCAACCTGACCCAGGAACTCCGTCTCCATCCCTATCTGGTCTCAGATATACGATCCTGCATTGACACACCTATTTAGAATTGTCCGTCTTTGCTTAACCAATCTGAACCTTTTACCTGAGTTGACACCATTTCTGGTTTTGTGTAGAGAGTAAAATCGCGGTGTTGTTGTTCTGTAAGTCAGATGAGCGGCCTTCAAACTCATTTGCGAGTGGCTTCTGCTGATGAAGCTGCAAACTATCTTCAGTAAACTTCTATTTTCATTGAATCTCTGACTCCAACTCTTCCTCATCTCACAGACTGGTCGTTTTTTGGGGAAAAACCGGTAAATATCACTACAGCTACAACTTGCATGTCTTTCTGATTTGAGGTTGTATAAATGAGGATGCTTCAATCAACGACAAGAGTCTTGATTATGAAATCAGGATTCAAGAGTTCACACTTAGCTGGTTATTAATTATAAAGTGAGTTTGACATGCCTGGGAGAGAGCCCTAAGTTTGTGAGATACACAAGCCTGGGGCTCCATCCCGTTTGCAGGGAGAGATGGGAGTTTGAGCTCAGGTAGGTCTCAAAGACTCCCCCTTATTGCTAGAGATAAACTGTCGGGTAAAAAGACCTCTCTCACTCTTGGGTGGTACTACTAATCCTAATGATGGGGAACAACTGTTTCTATTGTTATGATACTTTCTACAGTAATTTAGCTATTTTAATTGTTAATTATATTTAAAGTGATTCATTTTTATGACTTTGTGTGTAGTGAGAATATTGTAGCCGAATGCTGATTAAACCAGTTTTGAACGAGTTTGATGAGACCGCTGAAAGTGCAAGAAACAATCTTGAGTTTTCATACCAGATTTTCTCTTGTGTCTGTGTATGCATATTTGGTTTTACAGGTCGAATATTAGCTCTTGATAGTTTAGGGGTCAGCCTGACCCCAAGAACTTTGCCGCCATCCATATCTGGAGTCAGATGCAATCGGTAACACTTTACAATAAGGTTCATTAGTTAATGCATTTACTAACATGAACTAATCATAAACAACACATGTACAGCATTTATTAATCATAATTGAACATTTACTAATGCATTATTAACATCCAAGTCCATGCTTGTTAACATTAGTTAATGCACCATGAGTTAACATGAACAATGAACTACTGTATTTTCATTAACTGACCTTAACTTGCATGAACAAATACAGTAGCAAATGTATTGTTCATTGTTTGTTCATATGTTAGTAAATTCATTAACATTAACTAATGAACCTTATTGTAAAGTGTGACCCAACAATCCCTCATTGACGCACACATTAAATTGATCTATTTTTGCTTTAACCAATGGGAACTGTTTACCTGGATCACTTCAGCATTATGTCTGCCCAAATGGACGGTTATAACTAATGTTACTACAGCTTACCATAGGCAACTGATAATAATTTGCATTATAACCTAATAAAGTGACAAATCAATTGCTTAAATGTATAATAGAAGTTAATTATTTGGGTTATGTATTAGAAACCCACACTACTCCCATCAAAGTAGCCTAAATATCAAACAGACACAAGTCGAACATTTGACAGAAGCAGAATTATGGAAAACGAATCATTTTGATCACAACACACACATTATAGGAGCTGTAACTTATAATAAACATAGAGCAGCATGGACTTTTATTATGAAGCTGGGTTCACACCAAAAGCCAAGTATTTCAAACAGTGAACAGACCTACCATTGAATCATTATAAAACGTCACTATTGAAAACATAACTCTTAACCACAAAGCCACTTTAAGACCACAAAACCTTTCTCTATTGCTGACATTGAGCCAATCCAAATTCGCTAAGCCACCAAAGAGCATAGAATCACCAAGAAGCGACACTCTGTTGTTGTTTGATAAACAGCCACTAGCGTCGCTCGGCGGCCATTTTAGAATGAAAATTCCAATAGAACAGCAGCATATTATAAACATGTTCAGTAAACTATGAAAAGTGCTGATTATTGTCGTAGTAAGTGTTTTAATGTCGTCTTTTAGGTTGTATCTTAGCTTTAATGTGCATTTTAAATAAATAAAAACAAAGCAGCTGCTTGCCATTCTGACAACAATGAGATCGGACGATAGCTTTCACTCCAAAATGGCGGAATCGCGGGGTTGTGGCTGGACGCTGCTATTGCAGTAGCACGTCATATTGAGTGTCGTCTCTTGGTCATTCTTAGTTCTTTAGTCACACACAGGCAACCACTCGGCATTCGCTTGGTAACATACAGCAGCCAATCAGCATTCGCAGAGCAACACACAGGAGCCAATCAGCATTCGCTGAGCCACACACAGGCTAATATCCCGCCTCGGCGCTCAGTGTATGAAGTGGATGGAGTATGAGTCGGATCGCTGATGAATGCTAAACTTTGCCGTTTGCTGTATAATTATTCTTCTGTTACGGGTGTTGTGCGTCTTTTCAAAGTAAGTGTATTATATCTGACTTCTGTAGCGATCATGAGTGTGATGTTTAACTTTGGTACCGATTATCCCTTCAGGAATTAGGAAAATAGTTACCTTTATTAGCTGCTAATGTTATCTGTGTATATCTGGGTGTTTCAGAAATCTTTGCCCAAATATGTTTATTTATTCATCCAATGTTTCCAGTTTCGTTTCTCTTCAGATTTTGATCTGAATGAAACAAATCTACATTTGTTATCACAGTTTGAGCTACCTATTATAATTTTCGGCCCTATATTCATAATTTAACAAACATTTGTAGTCCTGTGCCTTATCTGGAATATAAAAATACTTCTTAATACATGTAGATTGTTTACTTTAATCATAACTATCGAAATGTGAAGAGATTTTTTACCAGCACAACAAAAAATCCTTATGAACTCAATCACCCATTGTGTCTTTAACATTGGGAAAGTATTTACCTTTATTCATAGCTGCTAATGTTATCCGTGTCTTTTATTCATTTGTATTTCTAGTGTAATTTACTCACTGTGGTCATTTCAGAAATATGCTTTGCAATATATATCTAAAAATATATATATATCAAATATATATATATGCAATATATATCAAATATATCTAACAGATAACATACTCTGTTGAATGTCTTTTAACAAAGTTTTTTTACTTTGATTTCAGATGAATGAGATTGCGTGAAGATGATGAACTACTAAAAGCTGGAAACACTTAAGTAAGACATTTTTTTATGAAAAGAAAGAAGATTTTTCGCCTGCGCTCAGTGTGGAAACAGATTGATTGAGATGCACAGCAGCCGGAAGATTCACAAGATGGTCCGCACTGGAAAGAAACCGTTCCCATGTACCCAGTGTGGTAAGAGCTTCACACATCCATCAAACCTTAATGATCACATGATGGTCCACACCGGAGAGAGACCGTTCACATGTACCCAGTGTGGAAAGAGTTTCAGGCAATTAATACACCTTAATAAACACTTAATGATCCATTCTGGTGAGAAACCATTCACATGCACCCAGTGTGGAAAGAGTTTCAGAATATTAGCATCTTTTAAAATTCACATGTTGATCCACACTGGAGAGAAACCATTCACGTGTACTCAGTGTGGAATAAGTTTCAGACATTTATCATCTTTGAAAATTCACATGTTGATCCACACTGGAGAAAAACCTTTCACATGTACCCAGTGTGGTAAGAGTTTCAGAGAATCATCATCTTTTAAAATCCACATGATGATCCACACTGGAGAGAAACCATACACATGTTCCCACTGTAGTAAGAGTTTCAGACAATCATCAAACCTTTATAAACACATGATGATCCACACTGGAGAGAAGCCATTCACATGTACCCACTGTAGTAAGAGTTTCAGACAGTTATTACACCTTAATCAACACCTAGTAGTCCACACTGGAGAGAAACCATTCACATGTACCCAGTGCGGTAAGAGTTTCACAGACCCATCATCTTTTAAAAGCCACATGCGGATCCACGCTGGAGAGAAACCATTCACATGCACACATTGTGGAAAGAGTTTCATACAATCATCAAACCTTAATAGACACATGAGGATCCACACTGGAGAGAAGCCATTCGCATGTACTCAGTGTGGTCAGAGTTTCAGACAAGCAGCACACCTAAATCAACACATGTTGATCCACACTGGAGAGAAGCCACACAAATGTGACCAATGCAGTAAAACATTTGGAAGGAGTTCACTTCTGAAGATCCATCTAAGAGTTCATACGAAGGAGAAACCGTATTCATGTTCTGTGTGTGGCAGGAGTTTTGCACGGCAGTCAAATTTAAGCCAACATCAGAAGATCCACACTGGTGTGAGAGAGCATGTCTGTCTTGAGTGTGGGAAGACTTTCATCACAGCTCGTCAATTGGAAAGCCATATACGGATTCACACTGGAGAAAAAACGCACAAGTGTCCACACTGCGACAAGACATTCAATGGGTTAGGAAATCTGAAAGCACATGAGAGGACGCACACTGGAGAGAAACCGTACAAGTGTTCACACTGCGGCAAGAGATTCAGTCTGTTAGGAAATCTGAAAAAACATGAGAGGATCCACACTGGAGAGAAACCCTAAAAGCAGGCCTCAAAATGAACGTTTAGGATGGCAGTACTGTCTGGCTTCAAAACTAGAAGCTTCAGCCGTAATTTAGGTGCAACCATCAAATATTATTGTGCTGTTAGCCAGACTGGGAGCCCAGCCAAAACCAGCTATGTCCAGCTTAAACCAGGCTAGTCAAGTTAGGTTAAGCTGGTTTTAGCTGGTCATTTCCCAGCCTGCCCAGCTAAGACCAGGCAGAGAATGGCTGGAAACCACCCTGGAAGTGGCCAAAACCCCTCTTAAACCAGGCTGGTCAACCAGCTAAAACCAGCCAACCATCCTAGGCTGGTTTAAGCTGGACATCAGGACTTCGTGTCCGTGACGAAACTATATTTCGTGTTTGTAAAGTACACCCAACGCAAATCCATCAGTCATATACAAACAGAAAATGTCGTGTCTGTGTCTGTTCTAGTCGCAGATTTAGGAATTGTACCGTCGTAAAATTGCGAGTACGCTCCGTTTTCCTTTACGATTTTATAATCACGGATGCGTGAATTTTATTTACGCACGAAATATTTATGGCAGTGATTTTATTCCATAGTTTCTGAAGCAAAATCTGTCAGTGTTATTTTCATTCTCTCGTATCAAGACCTTTACATTTGTGGATATTTTGATGCACAGCAGAATTTAAGACTTCATTTATTACGGCAAATCTTAAGTTCAACCTTTGTCTCGTCAGTTCACAGAGAATTTTCCCAAAAGTCTTGGGGATCATCAAGATGTTTTCTGGCAGACACTTTTCCACACAGGGCTATGTAGTTTTGGATTTTGTTTTGCTTTGATAATAAAAACCTTCATTTAAAATCTGCGTGATGTGTTTACTTGTGCTATCTTTGACTCATATTTACATTAATTTCATGATCTGAAACGTTAAAATATGACAAAAGGCAAAAACATAACAATAAATCAGTGAGGGGGAAACACTTTTTCAGGCGTCTATACTGTATAAACACAGATTTGGCTGACTAGTTGATAATGATTAAAGCTTTTGCCACAGAAGTATCTGAAAATCCCTCTGTTTACTCGTTCACTGTAAACAATATATTGATTTTACAAGTGACACAGAAAGTGAGGGCTTTATCATGAATATTGATGCCGTTCTCACTCTTGATAAAGACCGGCCTCTAGTGGGTCATCAGTGTGACTGTGTGAATGAAGAGATCCAGAACATGAGCTTCTGTGTTTGTCTTTATTTACTGTTTCATTTTAGTCCACAATATAAATAATTACAGTCAAAGGCTCACAGTGATCTGAACATTTACATTACTCTCTACCAAAGGTATTGTTATTATTACTGTTTAAGAGATTCATTCATTAATTTTCTTGTCTGCTTAGTCCCTCTATTAATCTGAGGTCGCCACAGCGGAATGAACCGCCAACTCATCAAGCAAGTTTTTACGCAGCGGATGCCCTTCAGCCGCAACTGTTACGTTTAGAGACGTATTGTTTCAAGTTATCTTGTTTATATTGTGTCAAATGTCTTTTTCCCTGTTCTTCTCTTGTTGCCTTGACTTGAATGGCAGGTTGCTGATTGCTTCCCACAGCTGTGTTCACTTACCATGGAGACTTGAGAGGGGATAAAAACACAGGCCAAACACTTGGATGTTGAGAAAGGAGCTAGAGAGGAACCTTTCTCCAGAGCACTAGCTGGGGTTCAGTTAAATTAAAGCTGTTGAACTGTAGTGAGTTAAGATCTGACTTGTGCATGATTGGTACTTGTTCTCTGTTGTGGCTACACTGAAAAAAATGATAGTGATGGGCAAAGCGAGGCTTCGTGAAACACTGAAACTATCGAAGCAAATGTGTCGAAGCTTCGAAACGTAGTGATGGTGAAATGAAGCTTTCTGAACCAGTGAAGCGCTCGACTCAATTGTATCGGAAAAAGGTTCGTTACTCGAAGCTTTCTAAATCAGAGCTCGATGAGGACCTCTTCTGGTGAAAGTGTGGGAAAGCACTGTGTTGTCATAATGTCAAATGTTCACAACTGACCAACTCATTCATGTAGTAATACAACAACAGCAATATAAACAAATTACTCAATTACTGTAGTTTTTACACAAGATGTATTACATTACACAACTGATGATTGTAGTAAAATCCAAGGTATTCAAAAGTTTATCATAATACAAACAGTCTTGCTCCAAGCGGGGATCGAACCAGCGATTCCTGATTGGGAGGAGAGTGCTCTTGGAGGACGCTATATGAACGATGCTTCAGGGTCGCATTCACCAGATGGCCTCTGTTAAACACAATACTACGATATGTGGTGGTTTTCTTTAAAGATAGTCATAAAAAAATACGCTAATACACTTTAGTATTGTTCAAAACCTTTTTACTAAAAAATACTATTGTAGTTTAATTTAATTACTGGTGTTTGAGACTGGTGCAGTGCTTTGAAACAAATGTATGTAATAGACGCCAATTCTCTAGAAATACACTTTACTATGAGGGTGTTTAAACCTTTGAATCAAAATTCGAAGCAGTCACGTGGGTAAAGGCGAAAATGAAGCTTCGGACGTCACTGATCACGTGATGATGGCAAAACGAATCAAGCTCCGGTACACTGCTTCACTGCGAGATGTATCGTTTTTTTGATACATGCTTCGAAGCCTCGGCGCACAACGTCACATCACTATCGAAACGTTTCGAAACACCACTCTACGGTGACACCTAGTGGTCATTTTATTTGTATTTCACTGAAACAGCTTCAGCAAAGAACAGTTGAGCAAATTGAGGTATCGAACCCTAAGTTGTAGCCGTGACTCTTCAAATGGTTTAGTCAAGTGGTTAGAGTTTGGGCCTACCATGCGGGAATAATGGGTTCGAATCCAGACTAACACAATTGCTTTAATACCAGTTGGTAATGCTTTGTTATTGTATCGTTTTGTTTCAACATTGCTCTGACATACGAATGAACACCTTGTAAATAAATTTGTATTGTTTTGTTCATAAAACAGGGTTGTTACTAGATCAGATACAGTTGTGGCCAGAAGTTAACAATAATTATTTATATTATTAATTAAATTTCCCATTGTATTTTATTAACTTCTATCCAAAACCTAAACCCATCACAGTACTGTAAAAATATGAATTATTGTTTTGCAGTGTTACAAAAATGATGCTAAATTGATGGCATATCCGTAGCTGTACTACCATAAATCAGTAACATGATTAAAATACATAAAATCATGATTTTGGAGTTTTTGTACTGGTCGAGATTCGAACCCAAAATAAATTTGAATTTCAGTACCATAGTGCACACGCACGGCCCACTAGGCCATACAATACAGAGACACATTGTAGATCATGCCAGTCAAATGCAGATTCTCCGGGTCTTGAAACGCCTCTGAAATGATCGATGCTTTGAATCGCTTTCGTCACGTGACCAAGTGTTTCGAAACACTTTAGTCACATGACCTGGGTGTTTCAGATCATGCTTCGGTGCAGTGTTTCGAAACACTTGCGCTTCGGGATCTCGACACTGTCGAAACGTCAGTTTCACGTCAGCTATCCCTAAAAAATTATTGAAAGATGATTCCTTGGATTTACTCAATTTTTTTTTACGTTAAGAGGTTGTGAACAACTTATTTGGGCTGAATTTAAACAAACAAATTAAATTGAACATTATTAAACTTAATTTGTTTGTTTAAATTCAACACCAATAAATTGTTTGCAACAGTTCTGCATGCAACACTTTTTTCAGTGTAAGAGCAGTACCGCGGTTTAAACTTTGATTTCTTTCTTTTGCTTTTTTCCCCCAGGAAGCAGTAAGGAGGTGGACGGCCATTCCTTTTTGTTGAACCATTTCTCCTGTTTTGAGGTCAGTCAGGGAGTCAGTGTAGTTTTGTTGTTGTTTTTTCATCATTGTTTTCTTGTAGTTTATTTAGAGGCTTTACTCCCAGACAGAACCCTGTTTTGTTTGTTATTTTGGCTGTATTCCCCTCCTGAAGTTAGAGCTTCCTTAACACTCATTGTGTGACCTTGGTTTTGTAAATAAGCTTTTGGAACTTTACTCTTTGTGTTGTGACTGGTCCCAGTTTAGTGCTCCTTTAAATTAATATTGTATTTTCCCCTAGACTTGTGTAAGACGTAACACAACCCATCTCTGGGAAACATTTAAGAGATTCAACTGAGTAAAAATGTCAGTCAGGTAAATATTAAAAACTAGCTATTGTCTTTAAAAACTTATTTTTGTATACAGAAAATGTACAGTGTAACACAAAAGTACACATGGGCAATACTTCAACTACAGGCACTTTTATCCGAAGACCCGGAAGGGACGTAATGGTGGAGAAAAAAAAATGGGTGGGAGAAGAAAAAACAGCGATAGGTAAACATATTTTAAAAAGTATTTGCATCCCTTTCAGACATCTTCCTCTAGCATCCACAGTTACTCCAGTTGGATGTGGTTCTTGTTCTGAGTGGTTTGCTGACATTACTCTGGATATCATGGCTCTTAATACATTTAGATGTGCCAGCAAGACACGCACCAACAATTTATCCTCTTTTAAACTTTAATGTTGTGTGCATTGCAATATTTAAAGCCAAACTGTGCTGTTCCTCTGCTTAAAACCTCCACACTCTGCTCTTACTGGTGGAGTGAAGATCAGTGAAGACTGGCCACCAGGCTGCTCACATTTAGTCATGAAACCTCCAATACTAACTTGGCCAGTGTTTCAGTTTCATTGTCCAACCCCTGTACTTATCAATTGTGTTTTAATGCCATAAATGTAATTTCCACCCCATGCTGTCTTTTCCACCACAGTCGCCTGTAGCAGAATTAGCTCAGTTTATGAATATTAATGACCAATAATAACAAGTTATTATTAATTATTGATATTCTGGATTAACTTATACTTAATTATGCCTCTGGAAAGGGAGGTATGACTACCTCTTGTGAAGTAGGTGAATAGAAGTTTTAGTAAACTTGGTTTAGTAATGGAGACGGAGTGCGCAGAAGGTATTGGTGTCGCCTCACAGTAAGAAGGTCTCTGGTTCGAGCCTCAGCTGGGTCTGTTGGCGTTCCTGTGTGGAGTTTGCATGTTCTCCCTACGTTCCTGTGGGTTTCCCCCACAGTCCAAACACATGCAGCAATCCGTTTCTTTAGCTGTGGCGCTTATGTTACAGGGCAGTGTGGTGGAAATAACATTTGTACAGTTTATTGTGAAAGAGTGATAGATAGCTTCATGGATTAGCTTTGAATTTAAACTAGCATTTCGTGTATACAAAACACTTTTATTTACCTTTAATTATGTTTGATTTTTAAAGACAATTTTGAAGGCTCAGCATGTTTGGAAATGGTGTAGAATTAATGTGTGAAGCGACATTTACCCTGAGTTTTCTTTAAGTGTCGTTGATGAACATTTAAATTTCCTCCATCTTGAACATTTGCATTGACGTCATTATTAATTTACATAGGAACCACCAAAACAATCTTTCACACAAACTTTTTAAAGCGACATTACAGTGTTGTGCTGGAAATGACACTGATGCTGATGCTATCAAACAATATTGATAATAGTCTCACATTAATAACTATAAAATATTTAAATTATTTCACCAGTGCTTAACTAAGATACATTAATAGTTTCCAGATTAATAATATTTTAAAATGTTATTGTCATTGCTGAAGTTTAAAACTCTGGGTGTGCGACAAAAGGCGAAAACAGTGATTTTGACACCTAAAAGGAGGTTAAATAATATGAACAAAATATATAAGAGAAAGCTGGTAATTTTTATAAAAGTAAGTTTTATTATTAGTTTGCCAAAGAAAGCAGAATTTGAACAAAATTATATGGATATATGATATAAATCAAATGACTTAAAAGTGCCCGAAGTTAAAGAATTACCCATATAACAATACATAAACCAACCAATCCATTAAAACACACATTTAAAGAAGTGCCATGAACAAAAAAGACAAACACAAACAATTCATTCAAACACTACTATAGATAATAAATCTTTTTTTTTTTAAAGATAATCCTCTTTATTAAGCTAAGAAACCCACATTTCTCACATCAAAGTAAATAACAAAGACAAAAATCATCAGACACGAGTCATTACTGTTCTCCAAAACTTTGTGACAGAAGCAGAACTGAGGAAAACGGAATATTTTGATCTGAGTCACAAAACAAAACTGCATCAGGTCTATTCATCATGTTATAAAGCAGCATGGACTTTAATATAATGCTGGATTCACACCAAACGTGTTTCATACAGTGAACAGACCTACCATTAAACATGATAAACCTTCACTATTAAACCAGAAACATTCATTATAAACCACAAAGCCACTTTCAGACCACAAAACCTCTCTCTGTTGCCGAGTGAATGACATACAGGCAGCCAATCAGCATTCGCTGAGCAACAAACAGCAGCCAATCAGCATTCGCTGAGCCACACACAGACTAATAATATCCCGCCTCGGCGCTCAGTGTATGAAGTGGATGGAGTATGAGTCGGATCGCTGATGAATGCTAAACTTTGCCGTTTGCTGTATAATTATTCTTCTGTTACGGTTATTGCGCGTCTTTTCAAAGTAAGTGTATTATATCTGACTTCTGTAGCGTTCACGAGTGTGATATGTTTCACTTTGGTCCAGGAATTAGGAAAATATTTTCCCTTTATTCATAGCTGCTAATGTTATCTGTAACGTTAGCTTTATTAATTTGTATTTCTAGTTTAATTCACTGGTTGTTTCAGAAATATGCTGTGCACAGATATAATCAGTGTTAATACGGTTATGTTAATCAGATATCTGTATCTTGAATATCGGTTATTTACTTATTTTCTGTCTTTGGCCAGTCACATACTTTCACATTATTAGTGTGGTGTAAGCATTATCTAAATACATTTTACATAGATATAAATAGAATTTAAACCAAAGTAGATTGCTGTGTGTTTTACGATATGCTGTATTAAATTTGAGCATGCATTGGTTTTCTTTTACCACGCATATGTAGACGTTACATGAAACATGAAAATTTACTTAAAAGTCTTGGAAAAGTCAGAACATTAGTAGTAAAAATGATAGAGGTAAAGCTGGTTTTATATTAGCACATTCTGACTTTCCCTTAATAATATAATTTCATTAAATTGTTATTTAAAAAACTCTAAATAGCAAAGTCATATTAGATTCTTAAAGTTTGAAGACAAACTTTGAGGCTGGCTTGTGAACGCCTGATGGTAATAGTTTATTTAGTTTAAACAGTTTTAAAAAGTATGAAAAAAAGATAGATAGATTGATCGATACATAGATAGATAGATAGATAGATAGATAGATAGATAGATAGATAGATGGTGTGCTAGCTTGAGTCAAACAAGCCAACCCCCGCTTCTCTACGATGTTCTGATGCTGAGATATAGCTGCTGTTATATTGTTGCTAGGTTAGTCTGTTTTGTTGCTATGGAGATGATTGACAGCTTAGACTGTTGATGTATCAAAGCTTCTTTATCACACTGCAGCATGACGATATCAATCTGAACCTCTATAATGGCAGTCTATGGGACCGTATCTGGTTGTTAGGGTTTGGCTAGAAAGTTGAAAGCTCATCAGTTATTGGTAGTTTGGTAGTCTGAGTTAAATGAGCCCAGTTAGAGGTCTGTGCAACAGTCTGATGTAGAGTTATGAGCTCACAAAGTTTGACCCAATGTAAAGTCAATAAGAGTCTTTTGCAGTGGAAATCTATGGGACAGTTTCTAGGGTCCCAAAAGTGGTTGCTAGGGTGTGGCCAGAAAGTTAAAAGCTCAATAGTTATTGGCAGTTAGGTAGTCTGAGTTAAATGAGCCCAGTTAGAAGTCTGTGTGACAGTCTGATGCAGAGTTATGAGGTCACAAATTTTGGTCCAATGTTAAGTCAATGGGATTTTTCCGACGGTCCCGGGACGTTTTTCGGAAAGCCGAAAGTCGGATCAGTAGGAAAAGATATAGCACCCCGAGTCAGACCAGTTTGGAGGTCTGGTGTGAGTTTGGTGGCCATAGCTCGAAAGCTCTAGGAGGAGATAGAGTTTAATTTTTAATCTCAGAAGAAAAATAGGATTTTGCTACACAAGCCAGCCTAATTAGCAGTAAATGACTATCAAAGTACAGCATTGTTCACAGTCAAATAAATAGTGTTAATGTTGTTTTCAAGCCACACTTGCATGCTAATTCCGGTCGAATATTCAAAGTAACATGGTAAACAATACAGAGACTTCTAAATTAACGAATGTGTGAATATAAAACCAACTTTACCTCTATGTAAAAATGTGTATGAACCCTGTATAATTTGTTCATTTTTAATGTTTATTTATTCGTCCAATGTTTCCAGTTAAATTTCTCTTCAGGTTTTGCTCAGATTTTGATCTGAATGAAACAAACCTAATTTGTTAACACAGTTTGGGCTACCCATCATAATTTTCGGCCTTAAATGTATAATTTAGCTAAAATTTTTAGTCCTGTGCCTTATCTGGAATATAAAATACTTCTTAATACATGTAGATTGTTTACTTTAATCATAACTATCGAAATGTGAAGAGATTTTTAACCAGCACTACAAAAAAACTGTTTCTGAACTCAATCACCCATTGTGTCTTTAACATTAGGAAAATATTTGACATTTATTCATAGCTGCTAATGTTATCTGTGTCTTTTATTCATTTGTGTTTCTAGTGTAATTTACTCACTGTGGTCATTTCAGAAATATGCTTTGCACAGACTTAATATCTGACAGATAACATACTCTGTCTTTTAACAGAACTTTGTTTACTTTGATTTCAGACCTTTTGATTTCAGATGAATGAGATTGCCTGAAGTGAAGATGATGAACTACTGAAAGCTGGAAATACTCGAGTAAGACATTGTTAATGAAAAGAAGAGACAAGAGTGTGGTAAGAGTTTCACACTATCATCATCATCTTTAAAAAGCCACATGATGGTTCACACTGGAGAGAAACTATTCACATGTACCCAGTGTGGACAGAGTTTCAGACATACATCAAACCTTAATAAACACCTCAAGATCCACACTGGAGAGAAACCATTCACATGTACCCAGTGTGGAAAGTATTTCAGACATTCATCAAGCTTTATTAAACACATGAGGATCCACACTGGAGAGAGACCATACTCATGTACAGCGTGTGGTAAGAGTTTCAGAATATCAACACACCTCAATGAACACATGAGGATCCACACTGGAGAGAAGCCGTTCACATGTAGCCAGTGTGGAAAGAGTTTCAGACTATCATCAAACCTTAATAGACACCGAATGATCCACACTGGAGAGAAGCCACACATATGTACCCAGTGTGGACAGAGTTTCAGAACATCATCACACCTTAATCAACATGTGGGGTATCACTCTGGTGTGAAAACACACAGATGTGATCAATGCGGTAAAACATTTGCAAGGGTTTCAAGTCTGAGGGTCCATCTCAGAGTTCATACGAAGGAGAAACCGTATTCCTGTTCTGTGTGTGGAAAGAGTTTTACAATGCATTCAAGTTTAATAAAACATCAGAAGATCCACACTGGTGTGAGAGAATATGTCTGCTTTGGGTGCGAGAAGACTTTCATTACAGCTGATCAGTTGAAAAAGCACCAAAGGATTCACACTGGAGAGAAACCGTACATGTGTTCACACTGCGACGGGAGATTCAGTCTGTTAGGTAGCCTGAGAGCACATGAGAGGACTCACACTGGAGAGAAACCGTACATGTGTTCACACTGCAACAAGAGATTCACACAGTCGGGAGCTCTGAGAAGACATGAGAGGATTCACACTGGAAAGAAAACCTAAAAGTAAGGCTGTGCCAGGGCTCAAAATGAACCTTTTTGCTTGGCAGCACTGGTGCTCTTAGCTTAAAGGTGTAGTCGGTGAATGTCTTCAGAAGCATTTGTTGTTGTGCTGGTTGAAAGTCTCTTCACAGTCCAATAGCAATGACTGGACGTCTGTGCCCGGGAGTGCCTTATTACGTCTCTGAGTGGGCTGCATTCATTCATGAGTAAGACTTGTAAATATATACTAAACATCTATTGACTTCTATATCTATTGACTTACACGGAAGAAAAAACAAATGTACCTATGGAAGTCAATGGTTACAGGTGTCCAGCTTTCTTCGAAATATCTTTTTTTGTGTTCAACAGAATAAAAAATAAAGAGAAACCGGTTTGGAACAAGTAAAGGTTGAGTAAATAATGACCATATTCGCTTTTTAGGTAAACTATCCATTTAAAAATACTTAAATTTATTATTATTATTTTTTTTTTTATTTGAGATTAACAAGACAATACATCATAGTATACAATACAACAAAGGAAAAAATTACAGAGTGTCTTATTTTTCTTATTTTCCCACTTTCCCCTTAAAATAAAATAAATTCAAATGTATGAATTATAAACAAACATATCCTCCAAAAGAAATAATAATAAATTAAAAATAAATACAAGAATTAAAAGAAAGTGTTAAACAGTATAATAATAAATGAGCAAGTTTACGATAGAAGCAAAAAAAATAATAATAAAAAATAAATAAAATTACAATAATAACAATTGAAAAAATAGTAATTAAAAGTTTACATAAAGGAGTTAATATTTCCTCTTTTCAATTAATTACTGTTTATTAGATCTGATATCTTAAATGTATTTATTTTTATCCCAATTCAGTTATGCTTTGCTAACAGTGACCCCGGCAGACCCGGAGATTGGCTGATTATATTAAGCTGTATTTCAGTGTATATGAGCCTACATAAATATACATAATAATACGCAGATATTCCAACAATCTATCAATAAACACACCTTGTGCTCACAGTCTGCACAGTTGTGTTTTGCTGACGAGTTGAAATCAGAGGAGCGGAAGTCTACCACCGTTTCAATATCAAATTTAAAGGGGACTGAGGCGGTTATTGAGTAATGCACAGTTCATAAGGTAATCGCAAAAGTTTTAGGGGGGCCGAATGGAAATATAGGAGTGCCTAAGGGACATCCATGCTGTTTTTTAATTTTACTTGAAAGTTTCAGTGAGACATCATTCAGTTGATTTGTTGTGATCTTCGAAAAACGCACGAAATATCCGCACAGCTAAACAAACGCACCAATTGCAGCAGATTAAGATGCGAACCAAAATACATTTGGTTGACAGTTAAAGAAGACATGAATACACCAAAATTAGGGAAGACTACTCACCAAAACAAGTGAGTATACCGAGGATATTCGCAACTATTGATCCTTAGAAGTCGTAACACCCAAAACAGCTCGTGGAAAGAAGTAGGCATACCGAGTATACGTGTGTATAGCAAGGTCTACACCACTGATTGGTACACTCATGGCTTCATTTATCACAGCAAATCTAAAGTTCAACCTTTGTCCTGTCAGTCCACAGAGAATTTTCCCACAAGTCTTGGGGATCATCAAGCTGTTTTCTGGCAGACACTTTTCCACACAGGGCTGTGTAGTTTTGGGTGTTGTTTTGCTTTGATAATAAAAACCTTCTTTTAAAAACTGCGTGGTGTGTTTACTTGTGTTATCTTTGACTCATATTTACATTAATTTCATGATCTGAAACGTTAAAATATGACAAAAGGCAAAAAACATAACAATAAAAGGCCACAATACTGTAAATACACAGATTTTGCTGATTAGTTGATAATGGTCACGGAAGTGTCTGTTTACTCGTTCATTTTGAAGGACTTGCAATTGAATAGTTGATATCTCAATGACAGATCCCATAAAAATCAATGGACACATTTTAAATATTACTAGTAACAACAGAATAGTTACTAGCCACAATTAAATAACTGCTAGTATCTAATAAAATGAACTAGTGTCTAATTAATAAGCACTAGTTCTTAATGGCATAGATACTACTATCTGAAAAGTAAACGTTAATTCCAATCCACAAAGCCACTTTCAGACCACAAAACCTTCCTCTTTATCCCACAGTGATTGAAACAGAGACAGCCAATCAGCAACCGCTGAGCGACATACAAGCAGCCAATCAGCAATAGCTGAGCAACACGCAACCAGCCAATCAGCATTCGCTGAGCCACACACGCTAATAATATCCCGCCTCGGCGCTCAGTGTATGAAGTGGATGGAGTATGAGTCGGATCGCTGATGAATGCTAAACTTTGCCGTTTGCTGTATAATTATTCTTCTGTTACGGGTGTTGTGCGTCTTTTCAAAGTAAGTGTATTATATCTGCCTTCTGTAGCGTTCACGAGTGTGATATGTTTAACTTTGCTGCCGATTATCCCTTCAGGAATTAGGAAAATATCTTACCTTTATCCATAGATGCTAATGTTATCTGTGTAGCTTCATTTCTACAGTACGGAACCCCGGAAGGGACGTATTGGAGGAGAAAAAAATTGGATGGGTGAAAAAAAATGGGTGAAAGAAAAAAATTGGTGGGAGGAAAATATATATTTCTAAGTTTTTGCGTTCTCTCGCAAAGTTTTGCGTTCTCTCGCAAAGTTTTGCGTTCCCTCGCAAAGATGTTTCTCCACAAACACTTCCTGTTCACTTCACTCACGTAAACCCTCCCATTTTTGCTGAAATTCTCCCATATTTTACCATTCTACCCCACTTTCTATACATTACTGTGCGCTGATCGTCGCCTTTCACTTTGCAACCTCTGAACCTGCGCTGACTGACAGACGCGCTTCGTACAATAAACTGATCCCAGATCAGCGTCTGTACGCGCCATTTAAAGGGACACTTCTGTTATCAAACAAGTGAGCAGCAAATGAATCTCAAGTTTTGTTTAGTTTGATAACAGGGGTGTCTCTAAGAATGCACAGATCTATAATGAAAGCAGTCCATTACTTTAGAAAGCACTGTTTGTGCTAATTTAAGAGAAAATAAGCTGTTTAAAATAAAACATGCAGGACGGAGATGTTTCATATTATTCAGTGTATTTGTCTGTTAAACATACACCCGCTCCTCTGTAAATGGCGTGTACAGACGCTGATCTGGGATCAGTTTATTGTACGAAGCGCGTCTGTCAGTCAGCGCTTATACATTCATTCACTGGTTCAGAGGTAGCATACGCTCAGTAATGTAACGAAAGTGGGGTAGAATGGTAAAATACGGGAGAATTTCGGCAAAAACGGGAGGGTTAACTTGAGTGCAGTGAACAGGAAGTGTTTGTGGAGAAACAGTTTTGCGAGAGAACGTAAAACATCTTTGCGAGATATCGCAAAACATCTTTGCGAGGGAACGCAAAACATCTTTGCGAGGGAACGCAAAACATCTTTGCGAGGGAACGCAAAACATCTTTTCGAGATAACGCAAAACATCTTTGCGAGATAATGCAAAACATCTTTGCGAGGGAACGCAAAACATCTTTTCGAGATAACGCAAAACATCTTTTCGAGATAACGCAAAACATCTTTGCGAGGGAACGCAAAACATCTTTGCGAGGGAACGCAAAACATCTTTGCGAGGGAACGCAAAACATCTTTGCGAGGGAACGCAAAACATCTTTGCGAGGGAACGCAAAACATCTTTGCGAGATAACGCAAAACTTTGCGAGGGAACGCAAAACATCTTTGCGAGAGAACACAAAAACTTTGAAATATATATTTTCCTCCCACCCATTTTTTTCTTTCACCCATTATTTTTTTTTCACCTAGCCAATTTTTTTCTCTTCCACTATGTCCCTTCCGGGGTTCCGTAGAATGGTAAAATACGGGAGAATTTCGGCAAAAACGGGAGGGTTTACGTGAGTGCAGTGAACAGGAAGTGTTTGTGGAGAAACAGTTTTGCGAGGAAACGCAAAACATCTTTGCGAGATAACGCAAAACTTTGCGAGGGAAAGCAAAACATCTTTGCGAGGGAACGCAAAAACTTAGAAATATATATTTTCTTCCCACCCATTTTTTTCTTTCACCCATTATTTTTTTTTTTCCAGCCAATTTTTTTTCTCCTCCACTACGTTCCTTCCGGGGTTCCGTACTACGGTAATGTACTGGTTGTTTCAGAAATATGCTTTGCAGAGATATAATATCTGACTGACAACTTTTTTGTTTATTTTTTTGAAATCTGATGTTTCCAGTTTTTTTTTCTCTTCACATTTTGCTCATCTTTAAATGTCTTTTGTCTGCTGAAACAACTTTATTTACTTTGATTTCAGAAGAATGAGATTATATGCGACGATTATAAACTAGTAAAAGCTGGAGCGCTTGATTGGGAGAAAAGCAGCCGTAAGATTCACATGATGAGCCACACTGGAAAGAAGCTATCCACCTGTACCCAGTGCGGTAAGAGTTTCACAGGACCATCACACCTTAATAAACACATGAGGATCCACACTGGAGAGAAACCATACACATGTACCCAGTGTGGAAAGAGTTTTACACAGTCATCAAACCTTAATGAACACATGAAGATCCACTCTGGAGAGAAGCTATTCACTTGTACCTGGTGTGGAAAGAGTTTCACTTTATCATCATATCTTAATAAACACCTGAGGATCCACACTGGAGAGAAACCATTCACATGTACCCAGTGTGGTAGGAGTTTTATACGATTTTCATCGCTTAATCAACACATGGTGATCCACACTGGAGAGAGACCATTCACATGTACCCAGTGTGGTAAGAGTTTCACACAGTTATCAAACCTTAATAAACACATGTTGATCCACACTGGAGAGAAACCACACACATGCACTCAGTGTGGGAAGGGTTTCAGAACATCATCACACCTTAATCAACACATGCTGATCCACACTGGAGAGAGAAAACACAAATGTGATCAATGCGGTAAAACATTTAGGAGGGGTCCGCTTCTGAAGGCTCATCTAAGAGTTCATACAAAGGAGAAACCGTATTCGTGTTCTGTGTGTGGCAGGAGTTTTGCAGCGCAGTCAAATCTCAGCCTACATCAGAAGATCCACACTGGTGTGAGAGAATTTGTTTGCTTTGGGTGTGGGAAGACTTTTATGACAGCTGGGCTTTTGAAGCGGCACCAAAGGATTCACACTGGAGAGAAACCGTACACGTGTTCGCACTGCGACAGGAGATTCAGTCATTTGGAGACGCTGAAAATACATGAGAGGATCCACACTGGAGAGAAACCGTACGCTTGTTCACACTGCGGCAAGACATTCAGTCATTTAGAGACACTAAAAGCACATGAGAGGATTCACACTGGAGAGAAACCGTACAGGTGTTCACACTGCGGCAAGACATTCAGACAGATGCAAACCCTGAAAGCACATGAGAACATTCACCCAGCAATTTGCTAGTCTTCTTTAACTTGTAGGAGTGTTTACGTATGGGACGATAACCGTTTTCTGGTTATACTGCGGTTTGATAGGTTTTAAAGCCGCTAAAATGTTCTGTGATATCGTTCCTAAGGTATTTTTTTAAAGATTTTTTCATTGTCTTTTTTTTTGTTTGTGTTTTAGCACAACAGTATCATCAGCAGAAAATAGATCCAAAGATGTGTTTTAAATTTGTAAAGAAATCTGTGTTTTTAAAACGAATAAACACCGCAGATGTCAATGACTTATTGAATTATCTAGCCTGACATGTTTACTGTTCAAAAGTATTATAAATCTTTCAAAAAAATAAAATACATTGTGTTCAAAGGGGAGAAGGGGTTTATTGTTTTATACCCATACCATGAAACTTATTATACCGTCAGACTCTTATATCGGCCCATGCCTAGGAGTGTGACGAGACTCTTCACGTGAATGACAGATTTTTTTTTTTACTACATTTCAAGTCTTCAATGATCAAATATATGATTGGAAAAATAGTCTTTTCAAGAGTTCAAACTTAGCTGTGTTTAAGCAGGAGGAGTAGGAGTGGAAGGGAGGATTCTTGAAAACAAACTTAACTAAGGTACGAATCTGCTTATTTACGGTGACTTAGGAATCGTCTGATTGGTGAATCATGTGTTTAACTAATGCAGCACCGGCTGTGGTCAATCATAAGCATGTGATCCTCCTGGAATTAGTTTGCAAATAAACTTCACGTGTTCAAGTGGGTAAAAATGAGCATAATGCAAAATAATTTAGGAGCTTTTTGTTAAATCAGCTTGTAATGAATGCTATTTTACTGCTGTTTTGATTAATTATATGCAGTAAAGGACATGATAACACTACAGAACACAGCCTATGTGAATGTCTTTTTATATATAATTTTAAATATTAGCTGATTGCTAATATATATTAAATGTTAACTGTTCGCTAGTATATGAATAGAGAATAGATTTTAATTCAACTGAAAAAAAATCACAAACTGCAAAATAATTTAGGAGCTTTTAAAAGAATTGTAATGTAAGGTGTTTTTAAAACTTTAACACAATTGTGTACAGTTGAAGTCAGAATTAATATTATTAATTTTTTTATATATTTCTTAAATGATATTAAACAGAGCAAGGAAATTTTCACAGTATGTCTGATAATATTTTTTCTTCTGGAGAAAGTCTGATTTGTTATTTCGGCTAGAATAAAAGCTGTTTTAAATTTTTTAAACACCATTTTGAGGTCAATGTTATTAGCCCCTTTAAGCTATATATTTTTTCCTGATAAACAAATCATCATTATACAATATAACCTGCCTATTTAGCCGAACCTGCCTAGTTACCCTAATTACCCTAGTTAAGCCTTTAAATGTCACTTTAAGCTGTATAGAAGTGTCTTGAAGAATATCTAGTCTAATATTATTTACTGTCATCATGACAAAGATCAAATAAATCAGTTATTAGAGATGAATTATTAAAACTATTATGATTAGAAATGTGTTAAAACATCTTCTCTCCGTTAAACAGAAATTGGGGCGGGGGGAATTAAACAGGGGGGCTAATAACTTCTACTGTATGTATGCATGCCTAATAACCGATGGCCAGAAAGTGATTAATTTTTATAAATTGGTAAAAATTTTGGTATTTGTGACGCAGCAAGTCAAGGGAATGATGTGTACACCATGATTTTATATGTGATGTGTCTAAAAAAGTGGCCATAAAGTAATATTTTCTCATTACAAACGAGTAGCAGCTTGGACCCAGAAGCACTATTCCGTACATCACGACTTAACAAGCGGATATGACGACCTTAGTTTCATCCCACTTCAGAGTAAAACTGGAATAAAGTGTGTGTCGTTGCTTTTCTGTGTGCCAAATGTTTTCTCAGGATCATCCCAGCCAGGTCAGAGGTCATGGAGACATCTTGTGTGGAACTGGACTCTTGAAGAGTTGGAAACATCTGTCTCCTGGGTTATTTGCCGTTTTATCTGGTAAATCCTTGTTAATTTCTTTGTATGTAAGCTGCCGGTTTGGATGTAGACTGTACCAGTTTTTAACCAGTTTTATTAAGACTTCTGAGAGTACACTTAGTCTTTGGGTAAGAAACAGATTGTACTTTGTGTGTGTGTGTGTGCATGTGTGTGTGTGTGTGTGTGTGTGTGTATTTTCTATTCCTTGGTGGATCATGGGGTCAGCTCCCTACAGTCTAGTGCAGGGGTAGGTAACTTATGGCTCGGGAGCCACATGTGGCTCTTTGACCAAAAATATGTGGCTCCCCAGCTGTATCTCTTCAATAAAAAAATAAAACTGTCACTAAAAATCAGTTTCCTATTGAAAATACAATTAAAATGACATTTGTATTGCATATTTTTACAACAAAATAAATAAGAATTAAAATAAAAGGACATTTCAATGCTCATGTGCGGTGCTGTGGATTACCTTGAATCAGACACCAATAAAGCTTATGCAACTTCGATGGTAACCTTGCACACGTACATTCGAACAACATTCATGAGTGTTGATGGCGAAAAGAAAAACATTCTATAAATTATTTCTTTCTTAATACATGGACTTGCTCGACATGTGATGCTTGCATATCCCCAATGCCTCTTTAAAAAATTCATTTGGCAAAAAACAAAATCAGAAGTGGCTCCTTGCTGGAAAAAAAAGATGTTTGCATGCTTGACGTATTGAGATAATGTACACACACACATGGAAATGTTCAAACTCTATCTGTGTTTTGACCAATCAGGTTAAGACACCAATATGCATGACACCGGTAATGATGTTATGTAAGAGTGTAATTGTTGTTGTTTTTGAGATTGTAAGCAGAGCGGCCTACGAACTCATTTGCGAGTGTTGAAGCTGGCTTCTGCTGATGAAGCTGCAAACTATCTTCAGTAAACTTTCTTTCTAATTGAATCACATTACTCTGGCTCTTCTTCATCTGACAGACGGGTCATTTTTGGGTAAGAATGGTCAGTTCCCCTACAATAAACGTGCAAAACAAATTGTCAAGCCACAATACTGTATATTCACAGATTTGACTTGTTGATAATGGTTAGAGTTTCTGCCACAGAAGTATCTGAAAATCCTGGTTTACTCGTTCACTGTAAACAATATATTGATTTACAAGTGAGACAGAAAGTGAGGGCTTTATCATGAATATTGATGCCGTTCTCACTCTTGACAAAGACCGGCCTCTAGTGGGTCATCAGTGTGACTGTGTGAATGAAGAGACCCAGAACATGAACTTCTGTGTTTGTCTTTATTTACTGTTTCATTTTAGTCCACAATATAAATAATTACAGTCAAAGGCTCACAGTGATCTGAACATTTACATTACTCTGTGCTAAGTTTCTTCAGATTTGAGCCTCTGCCTTGTTTCTTCATCAAGAGAAATTATTATTGTTTACTTCTAATAGTAATAAAATAATTGATGTATGTTTGCATGTTTAGTTTGTGGACAGCTTTCCCTATTAAACAATTAAAAATTAAATATCACAAAACAAACATTAAAGCAGCTGTAATTTATAGTCAACATAGTTTTTACTGCTCTATAAACTATGTTGACTATAAATTACAGCTCTTTATTATAATGCTGGATTCACAGCAAACACAAAGCACATATCATACAGTGAACAGGCCTACCATTACACATAATAAAGCTTCACTATTAAAACAGAAACATTCATTATAAACCACAAAGCCACTTTCAGACCACAAAACCTTTCTCTATTCGCTAAACAACGCAGAGGCAGCCAATCAATATTCGCTGACTCGCACACAGGCTACCAATCAGCATTCGCTGAGCAGAAAACAGCAGCCAATCAGCATTCGCTGAGCCACACACACGCTAATATCCCGCCTCGGCGCTCAGTGTATGAAGTGGATGGAGTATGAGTCGGATCGCTGATGAATGCTAAACTTTGCCGTTTGCTGTATAATTATTCTTCTGTTACGGGTGTTGTGCGTCTTTTCAAAGTAAGTGTATTATATCTGACTTCTGTAGCGTTCACGAGTGTGATATGTTTATCTTCGCTGCCGATTAGCGCGTGATTTGATGTGATTTAACTCATGTGGTCAATGCTCATAGCACTAGGAAAATATAAACGTACAGATATAGTTTTTTTATACATTTTCTTTTATAAATTTGCACACTAAAACAAGCAGTCAACAACAAAAAAATAATAATAATTCAAAAAGAAAATTCCGTTTAGTTGCTTGAACAGAGGAGACTCATAGCTAACATTCTGCAAACCTTCAAAGTGTGCTTTAAATGCTTTAAAAATAAGTTAAATCTTTGTGGACTAAAAAATAAATGTACTGTATATCATTTTTCTTTTTTGAATGCGGGCAATACATTATAGATACGTTTTATTAAAAAAAACATATATATATATATATATATATATATATATATATATATATATATATATATATATATATATAAAATATATTAATCAATTTTTTAAAGTCAATGATAGGGGTGCGGCCAGGTAGATGGCCTATAAGACATTGTACCCAGGGGCCTCTGAATTCTTAATCCGAGCCTTGTATTGCCTCTTGGCATATTAGGTTATAAGTGCTTTCACAATGTAATATTAGTCTTGTGCAAAATATTAGATGTGCTTAATGCGTATAGAAAACTTGGATTAATCAAAATGATTGAAAGTAATATTCAGAGCAGAAACTTGCGCCACCATCTTACCTGAAGTTGGAAAATATTTAATCTTTATTCATATTCGCTAATGTTATCTGTGCGTATTTAATTCATTTGTATTTCTAGTGCAGTTTACTAAGGCCCCGTTTACACTACTGCGTTTTAGTTTGAAAACGCGTAAGTTTTGCTACGGTTATGCATCTGTCCACACTTCGCCGGAGTTTTCGATCGCGCCGTAAACAGATCGTTTTGGAAACGCTGTAAGGGCTCCCTGATTGGGGCTTTTGTGTCATTGCGTATCCTTCCCTTATTCGTCAAGCCCCTATAACATGACTTTAACACATGGCTTTAAGGCTACCGGAAGACAGTACTGTAAACAACAACATGGACACAGAAATGGGAGCGTTGTTTGCACTATTGTCTGTTTTAGGCGCCATTGTGCAGTTATTCATTTGTTACGTTTAGTAACAACTCGACCTCGTCGTCTGTCCACAAAAATACCTCTCTTGCTTTCTTTGCCATCGCGTTCATTGTTCAACCGGCGTTTGTTGACTAACAATAACCAAATGCCGAGCGAGACGCATGCTTCCTGTTTACACTTGAACGCACATGCCCAGAGTGCACGAATGGTCACGTGATATATGTTTTTGGTGGCGTAGTGTGGACGGAGATATGTTCAGAGACGCTAGGTGAAACGCTAGTGTGGATGCGGATCGTTTTTGATCTAAATCGCCGTTTTAAAACTAAAACGCACTAGTGTATACAGGGCCTAACTGTGGTTGCTTTGTGTAGATAATATCTAATAGATAATGCTGTCCATTATTTATTTATGCAATGTTTCCCGTTTCTTTTCTCTTCAGGTTTTGCTCAGATTTTGAATGCTAAAACAACTTTATTTACTTTGATTTCAGACCGGAGATTGTGTGGACACACTGTGCCAAGCGAGTTTGTTGTGAACGCTGGAAAACACCTCATTTACTGACTGAAGGATTTTATATTTATTGAAAATAAGAGACTATTTTTTTCACCAAAAGATAGGCGGCTATGGAAAACAGTGGTAAGATTAGCATTATGAGCCACACTGGAGAGAAACGATTGACATGTACCCAGTGTGGGAAGAGTTTCACACGATCATCCTCCCTTAATAAACACAAGAGGATCCACACCGGAGAGAAACCATTCTCATGTACCCAGTGTGGACAGAGTTTCACACGTTCATCAATCCTTAATGAGCACATGAAGATCCACACTGGAGAGAAACCATACAAATGTACACAGTGTGGAAAGAGTTTTGGACAGTCATCAACACTGAAAAAACACACGATGATCCACACTGGAGAGAAACCACACAAGTGTGATCATTGCAGTAAGACATTTTTAAGGAGATCACATCTGAAGATCCATCTAAGAGTTCATACGAAGGAGAAACCGTATTCATGTTCTGTGTGTGGGAAGAGTTTTACACAGGTGTCAAGTCTTAAAAACCACGAGAAGATCCACACTGGTGTGAGAGAGTATTTCTGCTTTGAGTGTAAGAAGACTTTTAAGACAACTGAAGATTTGAAACGGCACGAGAGGACTCACACTGGAGAGAAACCGTACACGTGTTCACACTGCGACAAGAGATTCAATGAGATGGGAGATCTGAAAAAACACGAGAGGATCCACACTGGAGAGAAACCGTACGCGTGTTCGCACTGCGACAAGACATTCAGAGAGCTAGGACATCTGAAAAGACACAAGAGGATTCACACTGGAGAGAAACCGTACACGTGTTCACACTGCGACAAGAGATTCAGTTATTTAGGTAACATGAAAGCACATGAGAGGATCCACACAGCAAAGGAGAAAAGGTTGCAAGCCTAGGAACACCATCCCATCTGTGAAGTACGGGGGCGGCAGCATCATGTTGTGTTGGACTGGTCCACTTCACAGCATAGATGGCATCATGAAGAATGAACATTATGTAGAAATACTGAAGCAACATCTCAAGACATGTGCGTGAAAATTAAAACTTGGCCACAAACGGGTCTTCCAAACAGACCATGACCCTAAGTGTAGTGCCAAATTAGTTCGAATGTGCTTTCAAGAGTTCACATTTAGATATTGCTTGACAACTGTTAGCAGGTTTGTCCCGGGAGAGAACCCTGAGCTCTGAGTAGGGTTGTAACGGTATGAATTTTTCACGGTATGATAATCGTCTAAAACAATACCATGGTCTGACGGTTTCGCGGTATACGGTATGTTACAAATGTTACAAAATAATAGAACAGTGAAGCAAATTTGACTTTCAAATAATATATTTTCAGTTACTATAAACAACACCACTTACAATGAACAAATAAAAAAATAAGAAAATAATAAATAATGTGTCAAAGTCCAAATAAAGTCCAAATAAACATGGTGCAAATCCTCAGTAAAAATAGATATAAATATTTACTATACTATAAATAGTTACATAACGAAACTAGATTCAATATGGAACATCCTTAGGTTTTATGTGCCAGCATGGATATGGTTGTCTGTGGATATGGATTTGGATATGGTTGTCTGCAATGCAGACAAACAGCTGCACCTTCATTTGCGTCTTTTGAAAACAGCAAGAGCAGCAGTTCGTCTTTGCTGTGTCACTGTTTTGTCATGTTTCTGTGCTGCTGTGCATGCAAAAGTACTTAGTATGAGAATTATTTCATGCAAAACTTTTTTTTTTGCGTTTTATTTAGCCGCGCATAAATGTATGCCTATCTCTCATTCCGTGTTGTTCAAAAAGCTCATTTTTGGTCCACAAACAAAAGCGAAACCTATGCTTATTGGTTGTGATATAGCGAGTTTAAACCAATCTGGGCATGGAGGAGGGACAATGCATCAATGTATCATGTCTGGTTTGTCCGGAGACACAGTGACGAGCGTTTCTTTGTCAAATCAGCGTTGTCAAATTTTGATGATGTAACCGCACTGATTCTGGAGCCTCCGGAGCCGCGAATGTTATGTGATACAGCACTGGAAAGCTGAGATTCTCTTCTTTATGCCAATCTTTGAATTGTATGACTCGGATCAGCGGATCAAAAGTTATTAAACATTTAAGAGCAATACTTATTTTTAGCCGCGGGCGGCTGTCTCGGTCTTTAAGGGTTAAAACCGTTGATATGCAATTGTTCATGGTATGATAATCGTGCACGTTCAAATCGTGGTAGACCGTCATACCGGTATATTGTTACAACCCTAGCTCTGAGATAGTTGAGCCCAGGGCTCCCGCCAGGTCCATAGAGCATGTGAGGGGATTACAAGATCAGGTGGTTCTCTAGAGCTCCCCTTTTTGTAAAGGAGGAGAAAGGGGGTGGATGGGGGGTTTCTTCGGAAAACGAAGATAGGGGAGTAATATCTAGCTAGGCTACTTATAGTAAGTTAGGATAGATCTGTGTAGTGTAGACAGGCGGCCAGCTGCAGTCAATTATATCACGTGCTCCTCTCGAAATTAGTTTAAAAACTTCACTTAAGGACAACAGAGTGGCCATCACAAAGCCCTGATCTCAATCCTATAGAAAATGTGTGGGCAGGGTTGAAAAAGCTTGTGCGAGCAAGACAGCCTACAAATCTGACTCAGTTACAGCAATTCTGTCAGGTGGAATGGGTCAAAACTCCTTTAAACTACTTTGAGTAGCTTGTGAAAGGATACACAAAACATTTGACTAAAGATATACAGTTTAAAAGCAAAGCTAACAAAAAATACCAAGGAAATGTGTGTAAACTTCTGACTATCTAGAAATTAATAAAAATTCTCAATAAAAAAATGCAACAATTGTCTCATTATTCTGCCATTTTGCAAATGTAAATCATTTAGGAGATTTAACAGATCCATCTCCTGACACCCTCCCGTTTTGTTACCTCTCCTAGAAAACTCCTCAATTAATCCTCTTTTGAACTCTGTCACCATATGACATAATGTTGTGTGCATTGCAATAGTTAAAGGCAAACTGTGCTGTTCCTCTGCTAGTTAAACCTTCACACTCTGCTCTTACTGGTGGAGTGAAGATCAGTGAAGACTGGCCACCAGGCTGCTCACATTTAGCCATGAAACCTCCAAACACTAACTTGGCCAGTGTTTCAGTTTCATTGTCCAACCCCTGTACAGTGTGGTGGAAAGACATTTCTACATTTTATAGTGAAAAAAATATTAAGGCTAGCTTCACGGATTAGCTTTGACCTCAATCTAGCATTTCATATATTATAAAATACTCTTATTTACCTTGATTTTGTTTGTGTTTTAAAGACATTTTTGAAGGCACAGCATGTTTGGAAATGGCGTAGAATAAATGTGTGAAGCGATATTCACCCTGAGTTTCCTTCATGTGTTGTTGATGAAAGTTTAAACTCCCTCCATCTTGAACATGTGCTCTGACGTCATTATTAATTTTCATAGAAACCACCTAAACAATCTTTCACACAAACTTTTTAAAGCGACATTACAGTGTTGTGCTGGAAATGACACTGATGCTGTGCGACAATAGTCTCATATTAATAACTATAAAATATTTAAATTATTTCACCAGTGCTTAATTAAGATACATGAATAGTGACCAGATAAATAATATTTTAAAATGGTATTGTCATTGTTTAAGTTTAAAACTCTGGGTGTGTGACAAGACGAAAACAAGGATTTTGACACCTAAAAGGAGGTTAAATAATATGAAAAAAATATATAATAGAAAGCTAGTAAAAAAATTAACATAAGATTTATTATTAGTTTGACAAAGGAGGAATTTGAATACATATTTTTTTGGATATATAATTTATGAAAGGACATTAAAGTGCCTGTAGCTAAAGAAATACCCAAGGAGTAGAAAGCACAGATCTTTTTTTAATGTAAAAATGTAAGTATAAGTAAAAAGTTGTCAGGAAAATAAATAGTGGAGTAAAGTACTGATACCAGAAAAATCTACTTAAGTACAGTAACAGAGTTTCATAAGATCATCGTAAGCTTTAAGAAGTGTATTAATCTTGATATTATAAAGTTCAAGAGATTTAACAATGAATGAAATGTCATTCAGGTACATATTAAATCTTGGTATTGTCTTGAAAAACTTATTTTTCTATATAGAAAATGTACAGTGTAACACAAAAAATATATAACAATAAGGTGGAGAGAATGATCACTACCAGAAATCTCTCGTAGATAAATTAAGCAATGTTATTCCATGAAGTAAACTAATCAATCCATACAATCTACAAAGAAGTGCTGTGAATAAAAGACAAACACACGCTACAGTCAGCCAAACACTACTACAGATGTTTATTCTTTGGGTTATTTATAAGAAACACACATTACTCCCATCAAAGTAAAAAACAAAGACAGATATCATCAGACACAAGTCCAGGCCTGTAGCCAGAGGGGGGGGTTCTGGTGGTTCGAAAGACCCACCCATCCCCCCACCCCCTACTGACAAGGCTTCAGAACTTGTTTACATGAGCCTATTTGTCCTGTTTTGACTGCTAAGCCATCATAACCCTGCTGAAAAATCCAACTTTGGCTGGTTTTAGCTGGTCGACCAGGCTGGTTTTAGAGGGGTTTTAGCCATATCCTGGCTGGTTTCCAGCCTGGTTTTAGCTGGTCAGGCTGGGAGATGACCAGCTAAAACCAGTTATGTCCAGCTTAAACCAGGCTGGTCAAGTTGGTTTTAGCTGGTCATTTTTTAAGCCTGACCAGCTAAAACCAGGCTGGAAACGAGCCTTGACATGGCCAAAACCCCTCTAAAACCAGGCTGGTCGAAAACAGCCAACCAGCCTAGGCTGTGGAAAGTTGAATGTGCTGCTGAGTTATTTGCCTAATAAATTATAATATGCTTAAGTTTTAAATGTAAAACTGTACCAGATTTTGTTTTCTAATGATACAGTTGAAGTCAGAATTATCCCCCCCCCCCCCCCCCCCCCTTAGATTTTATTTAATTTTTTAAATATTTCCCAAATGATGTTTAACAGAGCAGGGAAATTTTCACAGTATTTCCTCTAATATTTGTTCTCCTGGAGAAAGTCTTATTTGTTTTATTTCGGCTAGAATGAAAGCAGTTTTTAATTTGTAAACCACCATTTTAAGGTCAAAATTATGAGCCCCTTTATGCTATATTTTTCCCGACAGTCTACAGAACAAACAGTAACCTGCCTAATTACCCTAATTAACCTAGTGAAGCCTTTAAATGTCACTTTAAGCTGTATAAAAGTGTCTTGAAGAATATCTAGTCTAATATTATTTACTGTCATCATGGCAAAGATAAAATAAATCAGTTATTAGAAATGAGTAAATAAAACTTATGTTCAGAAATGTGTTGAAGAAATCTGCTCTCAGATAAACAGAAATTAGGGGGAAAAGTAAACAGGGGTGTGAATAATTCAGGGGGCTAATAATTCTGACTTCAACTGTATGTGTTGTAATAAATTTGCATTTTTTTCTCTTTATATTTCTTTATTCTTTCTAAATTATTCAAAAAGTGTGGTTATGATGACCGTCTAATCCAGCTTAAAATGTCACTAAATGCAGTTTTTAAACATCATAATTAAAAAGAAAATGAAGCGAATAACTGCAAAAGGATCACCTTTTTGAGGAAAAAATTGTCACATCTGACAGAAGCAGAACTGAGGAAAACAACATAATTTAATCAGAGTCACAAAACAAACATCATGGAAGAAGTGATTTAGTCAACATACTTTATAAAGCAGCATGGATTTTTATTATAATGTTGGGTTCACACCAAACACAGTGAACAGGCCTACCGTTACACATTATAATACTTCACTATTAAAACAAAAACATTCATTATAAACCACAAAGCCACTTTCAGACCAGACAAACTTTCTCTAGCAGTCGCTAAGCAACACACAAGCAGCCAATCAGCAATCGCAGAGAAACACACAGCAGCCAATCAGCATCCGCTCCCGCCCTGTATGAAGTGGATGGAGTATGAGTCGGATCGCTGATGAATGCTAAACTTTGCCGTTTGCTGTATAATTATTCTTCTGTTACGGGTGTTGTGCGTCTTTTCAAAGTAAGTGTATTATATCTGACTTCTGTAGCGTTCACGAGTGTGATATGTTTAACTTTGTTGCCGATTATCCCTTCAAGAATTAGGAAAAAAGTTACCTTTATTAGCTGCAAATGTTATCTGTGTAACTTTATTCATTCGTGTTTATAGTGTAATTTACTGGTTGTTTCTGAAATAGACTTTGCACAGATATAATATCAGTCAGATAATGTACTCTCATATATATTTATTCATTAATAAGGTTTCAGTGTATTATAAGTTTATTATATCTGGATTTTTGTAACATTCGCGAGTGTGATTTGTTTAACTCTGCTGTCGACTATTCCGCGGTTTGCAGTTGCAGTTTGAGATATATGATAATGCTAATGCGACCCTTAGTTTTGGCTGTTACACAGCAGTCTCTCCAGCGGGGGTATCGTAAATAAACGCGGGTCACCAGGGTGATAATTCGTTTCTTTTTCTTTAATCTGGAGCGTCGACATAACAATAACATTCACAAACAGCATTGCATCTGCCAAACTTTTCTCCACTTCCCTTTTTTTCCCTCCTTCTCCTGCTTTCCGGGAGCCAGAGCACAACAATTGTCCTTTGAGAAATGGGATGATGCGTTCTTCCTGATGGTCATGTGACCTTCACGTGTTTTAAATGGAAATGATTTAAACATTAAAGCATCCATACAACGATTTATTGTTTTTCCCCTCTTAAAAATAAATACTTTGCATAAAAACATTATAAATATTCTCTGCACAATATAAATAAAACACATTTTAATACGAATTTCAGCAAACAAACCCCCCTAATGTGTTTATTCCTTGATTAAGATGTTCATGGTAATGTTTACTTTCACCGTTTCCTTTACGGAAACTCCTGAGGTAAATAAATGATGGCTGTTTCTCAATATGCGTTCTTCAGCGGTCTTGCGTCCTCGTGTTCGCAAAAAATACTTTTTTTTTTGTAAATTTTTAACATCGCCTAAACTTGCGAATCTTTCAGGTATTAAATTTGAGGTGCCCGGCTGTAGCACTAAACGACATAAGAACAGATGACTACTTTTCGGCCTGAAATGTATGATTTAACAAACATTTTTTACTTATCCAGAGTATAAACATACATATAAATACATTTAAATCGCTTACTTTAATCATAACTATCAGAATGTGAAGAGATTTTCAACCAACACAACAAAACTGAACTCAATCACCCATTGTGTCTTTAACATTAGGAAAATATTTGACCTTTATTCATAGCTGCTAATGTTATCTTTTATTCATTTGTACTTCTAGTGTAATTTACTCACTGTGGTCATTTCAGAAATATGCTTTGCACAGACTTAATATCTGACCGGTAATGTACTTTGTTGAATATCTTTTAACAGAACTTTATTTGCTTTGATTTCAGAAGAATGAGAGGCCTGGAGAAGATGATGAACTAGTGGAGTAAAAGTAAACTAGTAAAAGAAGAGGCAAGATTTTTTCGCCTGCACTCAGTGTGGAAAGAGATTGATTTGGAAGCAAAGCAGCCGTAAAATTCTCATGATGGTCCGCATTGGAGAGAAACCATTTACATGTACCCAGTGTGGTAAGAGTTTCACACGATCATCATCCCTTAATAGACATATGATGATCCACACCGGAGAGAGACCATTCACATGTACCCAGTGTGGTAACAGTTTCATACGATTATCATCCCTTAATGAACACATGATGATCCACACTGGAGAGAGACCATTCACATGTACCCAGTGTGGTAACAGTTTCACACGATTATCATCCCTTAATGAACACATGATGATCCACACTGGAGAGAGACCATTGACATGTACCCGGTGTAGTAAGAGTTTCAGACAATCATCATCCCTCAATAATCATATGATGATCCATACCAGAGAGAAACCATTCACATGTACCCAGTGTGATAAGAGTTTCAAACGATTATTATACCTTAATGAACACATGAAGAGCCACACTGGAGAGAGACCATTCACATGTACCCAGTGTGGTAAGAGTTTCACACGATTATCATTCCTCAATAGACATATGATGATCCACACTGCAGAGAGACTATTCACATGTACCCAGTGTGGTAAGAGTTTTACACAATCATCATCTCTTAATAAACACATGTTGTTTCACACTGGAAAGAGATCGTTCACATGTACCCAGTGTGGTAAGAGTTTCAGACGATTATCATTCCTCAATAGACATATGTTAATCCACACTGGAGAGAGACCATTCACATGTACTCAATGTGGAAAGAGTTTTAAAAACTCCTCATCACTAAAGCAACACATGTTGATCCACACTGGAGAGAAGCCACACAAATGTGATCAATGCGGTAAAACATTTGCAAGGGGTTCGAATCTGAAAACCCATCTAAGAGTTCATACAAAGGAGAAACCGTATTCATGTTCTGTGTGTGGAAAGGGTTTTACATGGCAGTCAAGTATAATAACCCATCAGAAGATCCACACTGGTGTGAGAGAGTATTACTGCTTTGAGTGTGGGAAGACTTTTGTTACTGCTGATCAGTTGGAACGGCACGAAAGGAATCACACTGGAGAGAAACCCTACAAGTGTTCACACTGCGACAAGAGATTCAAAGATTCAGGACAGCTGAAAGTACATGAGATGATTCACACTGGAGAGAAACCATACACGTGTTCACACTGCGACAAGAGATTCATTCGATTAGCAAGACTGAAAGTACATAAGAGGATTCACACTGGAGAGAAACCGTACATGTGTTCACACTGCGAAAAGAGATTCAGAGGTTCAGGACAGCTGAAAGTACATGAGATGATTCACACTGGAGAGAAACCATACATGTGTTCACACTGCGAAAAGAGATTCATTCGATTAGGAGAACTGAAAGCACATGAGCTGACTCACACTGGAGAGAAACCCTATAAGTGTTCACACTGCGACAAGACATTCAAAGATTCAGGACAGCTGAAAGTACATGAGAGGATTCACACTGGAGAGAAACCATACATGTGTTCACACTGCAACAAGAGATTCATTCGATTAGGAGAACTGAAAGTACATGAGAGGACTCACACAGCAATTTGTTCAAAACTATGTCCTTCAAAATAGAGTAGGGTTTTAACCTCGGCATCCTGGCCAAATTTGCCCCTGTCCCCTGTCAATCATGGCCTCCTAACCATCCCTAGGGCTCAACATTAAGGGCCTACTCATTCTATGCCATCCGTACCGTGTCCAGGCCTGTTTCCCGGATCGTTTGAGAAGTGTGAGTGCGCTGAATCGGGCTCAGGCATGGTTCACTGGGCCGGCCCTGGCCCGGTAGGAGGAGGTGGGCCTGAGCGCGGTTCACTTGGGCTTTGGCGCGGTTCATTTGTAGTGTGAGTGCAAAACGCGCCAAAGCCCGAAACCGAAAGCGAGACGTGACTTTATGGGACTGTTTCATATGGATTTATTAATTATTCTTACTGTTCAGTGAACGCAAACTGTCGTAGTTTATTAAATACGCAAACTCCTTACTTCACGACAGCTGCGCACCTTCAGCAGAACTCCTCATTCCTGCAGCACGAGGGCTTTATGATTGTTTATGAGCGCCAAAAGTGGCGGATCTGTTTATCGAAATATCTGACTGCGTGTCACCGCATCCCTAAGGACTGTTTGGCGAAATATTTAACTGCATATCAAACTGACTGAAACGATATAACTAGAGAAATCTCCACTGTGCTGCTGAGTGACAGCGCTTCTCACTGAACAGCACAGCATCGATGACGTAAGCGTGCCCAGGCCCGAATGTGGTGTGAGTGCGGGCCGTCATGGGAGACGGGAGGGGGTTTTAGAGGGGTTTTGGCCATTTCCAGGCTGGTTTTCAGCCATTTCCAGCCTTGTCTTAGCTGGTCAGGCTGGGAGATGACCAGCTAAAACCAGCTTACTAGCCTAGCCAGACTGGAAGCCCAGCCAAAACCAGTTATGTCCAGCTTAAACCAGGCTGGTCAAGCTGGTTTTAGCTGGTCATTTTTTCACCCTGACCAGCTAAAACCAGGCTGGAAATTTACTGGATCCTTAAAATGGCTAAAACCCCTCTACAACCAGGCTGGTCAACCAGCTAAAACCAGCCTAGGCTGCTTTAAGCTGGATTTTTCAGCAGGGAAATTATGAAAATAACCCATCAAAGGCTTTAAGACCAAGCGAAATTTAACGTAAGTGTAGTCATCTTTCACTGACCTATGCTGAATTTTACAATAAACTTTTAATCTAAATCTAGGACTCGTGAAAGAAAAATCTGACCAGTAAAAAAAAGGCAATTATAATAATAATTTGGCTGTTTTTGTTTTCCATTAGTTTTCAAACGTACTGTTTATTTTTTTTAATAAAAAAAGACTAGAAAAATCGCTAAGCTCTACATCATTATAATGTCCACCCCCCCCCCCCCCCAACCCGTATATATATATATATATATATATATATATATATATATATATATATATATATATATAGCCTACCCACATGCAGTATACATTTGTTCTATGTTTTATGTTATGTTTGTGTGTTTGTTTGTTATATGTCAGACTAGTCAATAAATCCCATTATAATCAAATGGATTGTAGTGTTTGCCTCACAGAAAAAGTGTCTGAAATGATAGATTCCCCTGCATAGCTCTTATAAGTTGATCAAAACTTATGACCAGGGCCAGACGGAATCTGCAGATGTTTTTTGCTATTTCTGCGGAGAATTTTGGTAAAAATCTGCAAAATTATTTCGGGAGTATCCAGCGGAGTATCAAAACTAAAACCTTAATATTTGAAATAAAAAGTAATAAATTACTGAATAAAAACTGAATAAATTCAGATTTACACATTTACTCAAGTAAATAAACAGAATTAATAATGGGCTAAACATCTGCAGAATTCTGTGCGCGCAGATTCCGTGTTGGCCTACTTATGACTGATTAATCTACTTCACGAGGAGTAGTGATAATCCCCTTTCTAAATGAATAAATCATTACAGAGTCCACTCGGAAGAGCGGCGAGTTCTGGTTATATTTATTTGGCCAAATTTACAATAAATTAATCCAGAATATTAATGATTAATAATAATTTGTTATTGTTGATAATTAATATTCATAATCTGAGAGTCTGCTTAGTCGAGCAGGCGCAATCACATATATTTATATATTTGTTTAACCAAATTGACAGAAGGTTAAGCTGAAATATTAATAATTAATAATAACTTGTTATTATTGATTATTAATATTCATAAACTGAGCTTTTTTTGCTGCAATATGATGTAATAAATTTGCATTTTTTTCTCTTTATATTTCTTTTTTCAAAATTATTTAGAAAGTGTGGTTATGATGACCATCTAATCCAGCTTAAAATGTCACTAAATGCTTTTTAAACATTATAATTCAAAGGAAAATGAATCAAATAACTGCATAAAGGTCACCTTTCTGAAGAAAAAAAGAACCACCCCCTTTCACCAGGCTGGCCTTGAGCCTAAAGTCATTACTTTTCACCAAAACTCTGTCACATCTGACAGAAGCAGAACTGAGGAACACAACATAATTTAATCAGAGTCACAAAACAAACATTATGGAAGAAGTGATTTAGTCAACATACTTTATAAAGCAGCATGGATTTTTATTATAATGTTGGGTTCACACCAAATACAGTGAACAGGCCTACCGTTACACATTATAATACTTCACTATTAAAACAAAAACATTCATTATAAACCACAAAGCCACTTTCAGACCAGACAAACTTTCACTAGCATTCGCTAAGCAACACACAAGCAGCCAATCAGCATTCTCTGGGCAACAAACAGCAGCCAATCAGCATTCGCAGAGCAACACACAGCAACCAATCAGCATTCGCTGAGCCACACACAGGCTAATATCCCGCCTCGGCGCTCAGTGTATGAAGTGGATGGAGTATGAGTCGGATCGCTGATGAATGCTAAACTTTGCCGTTTGCTGTATAATTATTCTTCTGTTACGGGTGTTGTGCGTCTTTTCAAAGTAAGTGTATTATATCTGACTTCTGTAGCGTTCACGAGTGTGATATGTTTAACTTTGCTGCCGATTATCCCTTCAGGAATTAGGAAAATAGTTAGCTTTGTTCATAGCTGCTAATGTTATCTGTGTGGCTTCATTCGTGTTTCTAGTAGAGATGCTCACATTGACCGTTTAACCGTTGACCGAAAGAGTGCACTTTTAACCGATTAATGTTATCAGTTAAACGGTTTAAAATTATTATTATTTTTATATTGTCATTTATTAATAACATTAATACTTTTAGTAGTATTGTTATATGCTTATACATTTTAAAATAATAAATATATATGTGACACATCTTTGTTAAGAACTCAATCGCACGTGATTATAGAGGTCGCGTGTTTTGACAGAAGCAAAATGAAGAGAGCAAAAAGAAGTACCGTTTGGGACCATTTTGACAGAAAGGCAGACGAAGTAACTTGCAAAATATGCACAGCGGTATTAAAATACCGCAGTAGTACAAGTACAATGTAATATCACCTGCGAAGCAAACATCCACTTGCATTCTGTGATGAAGGACAACAAATGCGGCCCTCCATGTTATCAGGGAGAAGATGCGATGCACGGCGATCTGAAGAGATAACTCCGAGAATATGTTTAATGGTAGTTAAAGACATTTTGCCTATCAGTGTCGTATGTGGTGAAGGTTTTCAAGAGCTGCTGAGATTTATTAAACCCAATTACGATATTCCTTCGCGAGCTACTATTACCCGTAGAATCAAGAACTGTTTTGAGGAGAGAAAAACATCGCTTAAAACGGGTTCCCAAACTTTTCAGGCCGCGACCCCCAAAATGACAATGCCAGTGACTCGCGACCCCCAATATCCTCTGAGGTGGTTATAAATACAGAAATTTGACACTGAGTTAAAGTTTGACAAGCAAATAAACTCAGTCGTCAAAAGTGGTTTCTATCAATTAAGGAACATTGCCAAATTGAAGCCTTTTCTTTCTTTTAAAGAGCTGGAAACTGTCATTAATGTTTTTATTATGTCAAGACTGGACTACTGTAACTCTTTGTATTCTGGAGTTTCACAGGCATCAATAGCACGCCTGCAGCTGGTTCAAAATGCAGCTGCTAGGCTTTTAACTGGGACAAAAAAATTCTCTAGTATCTCACCAGTTTTATTGTCTCTTCACTGGCTCCCAGTCCAATTTAGAATTCAATATAAATTATTGCTTCTAGTTTTTAAAAGTTTGAATGGTCTGGCACCGACTTACATTTCTGAGCTTCTTCACTGGCACACTTCATTGAGGCCAATCAGGTCTGAAAACACATTTCAGCTAGTTGTCCCCAAAACGCGGTTGAAATCAAGAGGTGACAGGGCTTTTTCTGCTGCAGCCCCCCGACTGTGGAATGGTCTGCCTTTACAGATCCGGTCATGTTCTTCACTTGGTGCTTTTAAGTCTCATCTAAAAAATCACCTTCTGTCTCTTGCCTTTGATTGTAATTAATTTTAATCTGTTTTACATATTTTGCAAATTTTTTATATATAGGTATAGATTTTGTATGCTGGTCGTTTTGTAAAGCACTTTGGTCAACATCTGTTGTTTTTAAATGTGCTCTATAAATAAAGCAAACAAACAAACAAACAAACAAATCTTGCATGCAATGGCGCACACACACCAATGGACCCAAGTCTATTCTTCTTTTAATTTTTTAATGTATGAGAGCTGTAAATGGGCCACAAAGTTTAACCAGATGTTATGAAATCTGCTGCATCTGACACTTTTGCTGCTTCTTTAATACAATGTAATTACCGCAGGGGTTGCAATCCAATAGAAGTAATAATTATAAGCTACCATAGTAACTATATATGGTATAAACAACTATTTTTTTCTCTTCAGTTCTCTTCAGGTTATGGATAAAATATGGTAATTCTTATGGCTTAATAAAAATAAATAGATTTTTGGAAACCACCAGGCGACCCCCCCTTCATTGTCCCACGACCCCTCGAGGGGTCCCGACCCCAACTTTGAGAACCATTGGCTTAAAACACAACTCAGTCGCACAAAGTTTGTGGCCCTCACGACTGACTGCTGGACAGCCCTCACAACACCAGCTCATCCAGTCATGTAAGACACGATGGAACTCGGTGTTTGACATGTTCGGGAGGCTTCTTGAACAAAGGTGGGCTATTGCAGTGGTTCTGCCCGACAGAACGATAACAAAAATAACAAAAATAAACATGCCAGAACCCTTGAAATGCGAGACGAATACTGGCATATTATGGCTGAGATTGTGCCAGTGTTGGAAACTTTAAAATGTACAACCACGGTAATGTCGGCAGAAAAAAAAAGTGTCTATTTCCAACATTTACCCCATCACCTTCAGCCTCCTCAACACGCATCTGATGAGGGCCGAGGAGGATGACATCAGAGTGGCAGAGTTCAAGGCGAAAGTTCGACAGTCCTTAAGCGACCGCATGGGGGTAGATATTATTTTTATTATTATTATTATATAAGGCGAGGCAGTGGCGCAGTAGGTAGTGCTGTCGCCTCACAGCAAGAAGGCCGCTGGGTTGCTGGTTCGAACCTCGGCTCAGTTGGCGTTTCTGTGTGGAGTTTGCATGTTCTCCCTGCCTTCACATGGGTTTCCTCCGGGTGCTCCGGTTTCCGCCACAGTGCAAAGACATGCGGTACAGGTGAATTGGGTAGGCTAAATTGTCTGTAGTGCATGAGTGTGTGTGTGTGGATGTTTCCCAGAGATGGGTTGTGGCTGGAAGGGCATCCGCTGTGTAAAAACTTGCTGGATAAGTTGGCGGTCCATGCTCACACATCTAACGTAAATAAAGATTTTACCAAAAAATTAATACAATGACGATATCATTAGGCAACATATTATGTCTTCAGATTGCGGTTTTGAACTGCATATTTCCCCCCAGCTCGCAAAAGCATCTCTGATATTGATTCAGGATTTAGAAAAGTTTAGATTCTTCATTTTTGGCAAGTGCTAACAACAACAATAAATAATATTCTGTAAATACTATATTATATACATATATATATATTCTGTATATATTCTATAAATATTTGATAATGGCCACACAATTTAAGTAAAAAATATTTTTATCAGTTTCAATGTCATTCATTCATTTTCTTGTCGGCTCAGTCCCTTTATTAATCTGGGGTCGCCACAGCGGAATGAACCGCCAACTTATCCAGCAAGTTTTTTTATGCAGCGGATGCCCTTCCAGCCCATCCACACTCATGTTTGATGCAGAAGTATAAATCAACATTAATATACTTTAACATTACAACCTGAAAAAATATCCTACATCGCTAAAGAGTTTATCACTTTCCCTTTCCTCCAGCGTAGTCGCTACTTTTTAATAGTTTTAATTAATTGCAAATATTTTTTTTTATAAATTTTTAACATTGCCTAAACTTGCGAATCTTTCAGGTATTAAATTTGAGGTGCCCGGCTGTAGCACTAAACGACATAAGAACAGATGACTAATTTTCGGCCTGAAATTTATAATTTAACAAACATTTTTTACTTATCCAGAGTATAAACATACTTATAAATACATTTAAATCATTTACTTTAATCATAACTATCAGAATGTAAATATAGTTTCAACCAGCACAACAAAACTGTTTCTGAACTCAATCACCCATTGTGTCTTTAACATTAGGAAAATATTTGACCTTTATTCATAGCTGCTAATGTTATCTTTTATTCATTTGTACTTCTAGTGTAATTTACTCACTGTGTTCATTTCAGAAATATGCTTTGCACAGACTTAATATCTGACCGGTAATGTACTTTGTTGAATATCTTTTAACAGAACTTTATTTGCTTTGATTTCAGAAGAATGAGAGGCCTGGAGAAGATGATGAACTAGTGGAGTAAAAGTAAACTAGTAAAAGAAGAGGCAAGATTTTTTCGCCTGCACTCAGTGTGGAAAGAGATTGATTTGGATGCAAAGCAGCCGTAAAATTCTCAAGATGGTCCGCACTGGAGAGAAACCAATCACATGTACCCAGTGTGGTAAGAGTTTCACACGATCATCACACCTTAATAGACACATGATGATCCACACTGGAGAGAAACCATTCACATGCACTCAGTGTGGAAAGAGTTTCGGAGAATCATTATCCTTTAATAGACATATGTTGATCCACACTGGAGAGAAACCATTCACATGTACCCAGTGTGGGAAGAGTTTTACACAATCATCATCCCTTAATAGACATATGATGATCCACACCGGAGAGAAACCATTCACGTGTACCCAGTGTGGGAAGAGTTTTACACAATCATCAACCTTTAATAGACATAATATGATCCACACTGGAGAGAAACCATACACATGTACCCAGTGTGGGAAGAGTTTTAGACGATTTTCATTATTTAATCTACACATGTTGATCCACACCGGAGAGAAACCATTCACATGTACCCAGTGTGGTAAGAGTTTCAGACGATTATCAAACCTTAATCAACACATGTTTATCCACACTGAAGAGAGACCATTCACATGTACCCAGTGTGGAAAGAGTTTTAAAGACTCCTCATCACTAAATAAACATGTGCTGATCCACACTGGAGAGAAACCACACAAGTGTGATCAATGCGGTAAAACATTTGCAAGGGGTTCCCTTCTGAAGAACCACCTAAGAGTTCATACAAAGGAGAAACCGTATTCATGTTCTGTGTGTGGAAAGGGTTTTACATGGCAGTCAAGTATAATAACCCATCAGAAGATCCACACTGGTGTGAGAGAGTATTACTGCTTTGAGTGTGGGAAGACTTTCATTACAGCTGATCAGTTGGAACGGCACGAAAGGAATCACACTGGAGAGAAACCGTACAAGTGTTCACACTGCGACAAGAGATTCAGTCAGATAGCATCTCTGAAAGCACATGAGAAGATTCACACTGGAGAAAAACCCTACACATGTTCACACTGCGACAAGAGATTCAGTCGATTAGGAAATCTGAAAGTGCATGAGAGGATTCACACTGGAGTGAAACCGTACAAGTGTTCACACTGCGACAAGACATTCAGAGAGCCAGGACAACTGAAAGTACATGTGAGGACTCACACTGGAGAGAAACCATACATGTGTTCACACTGCAGCAAGAGATTCAGTCGATTAGATAGTCTGAAAGAACATGAGAGGATTCACACTGGAGAGAAACCGTACATGTGTTCACACTGCGACAAGAGATTCAGTTATTTAGGTTGCCTGAAAGTACATGAGAGGACTCACACAGCAATTTGTTCTTTGAAAAACGATGTCCTTCAAGATAGAGTAGGGTTTTAACCTCGGCATCCTGGCCAAATTTGCCCCTGGCCCCTGTCAATTATGGCCTCCTAACCATCCCTAGGGCTCAACATTACGGACGCTCGGGACAGTAGACAGTATTGTTTTCTGTGAACTGTGCTGCCTTCTCACAAAAGTTCAATTTACCAGTGACTATTTGTCAATTTCCTATGAAAACTGTCTTAGAATCGAGGAACAGTGTGTAGTTTTAAGTCTTTGAATGCTATCTTCTCTGTGATGTCGTAAACACCATATTGCTTTTCGATTCCTGTGAAAACAGCAAAGTAACGGCGACATCAAATTATGAGGCTAAAAGAATGTCTAAAGGCCTGTGCACACCGAGACGTTTTTTGCTCACGTTTTCCGTTGACGTTTATCGCTTCGTGACTAAATAAAGTGCGTCAATGTGATCGTGCACACCAACGCGCAAAACACCAGCCGCAAAAGCGTCATTTAAAAAAAAAAAACGCCTCATGCTCGTATTTTATTTTTACGTGCCACATTTGGAGGCGCTCAAGCGCAAAACTGCACATTGAAGAAGATGCCCAGAGCCGATATGATCTTAGAGCTGCTTATTGCACTGGTGAACAATAATAATTTCTTCATCACTAGAGCTGGAGCTGCTACTTGTACCATCTATGCTTGTTTCAGTCACCAGTAACTTTAACAACTTTAACAACAAGCATGTGAACTTCCTCTCCTCCTCTTCTTCTGTGTTATGAGCGGGTGTCGGAAGTTTAAAGTTGTGTAGCGCCATCTAACGTCAAGGAGTAATTGTGCATACTCTTCTGCTTGATGCCAGTGAAAATCGCTTGGGTTTGAATGCAAAAAAAGTCCCGTGAAACGCTGACGATAAACGCAAACGAAAAGCATCCCGGTGTGTAGGAGCCTTTAGAAGCAGAACAGAGCAGGGGCGCCTGTAGGATTTTACTCCAAGGTACGCACAAATCCAGCACCGCCCACCTCTTCCCCCAATCATGTCAAGAAACATGGATGCTTACTGTCAAAGACATCATTTAAGGGCATTCGTTATGACATAATTCGCTTCCGTTTTAATTTTAATATTTCGTTGAAATCTAAATGTAATAAAAGCACATCGGCGTGAAAAATCAGACGGTCAAGACGTAATTTTTAAAATTACGACATATTAAAACAATTGCAAATGTATGACAAAAGATTGTGATACAATACAATTAGTGAAGCGATAATTAAAACCTTACTTTCCACTGACCGAAAATCATCCACCCACACAGTTTAGTAGTAGACCGACTTGAGCAAAAATATAATTTGAATATTTTTCTTGGGAAAATTTTTTTTTTTTTAAATGATTTGGTATATTGTTTGTATCTTTGTTTAAATATTGTTGCTGGTCAGTTATCTGCTAGAAAAAATAGAAGAACAAATAACATTTGAGGTTAAGAGCTTCAAATTCGCTGAAGAAACACATCAGCATATTGCAGTGTTCAACACGAGCTGAATTTGAAATCTTGGGCATCTCCAAAGTGTCTGTTCTCTACACCAAGGGTCACCAATCTCGGTCCTGGAGGGCCTGTGTCCCTTCAGGGTTTAGCTCCAACTTGCATCAACACACCTGCCTGGGCGTTTCAAGTATACCTAGTAAGACCTTGATTTGCTCTTTCAGGTGTGTTTGATTAGGGTTGTAGCTAAAATCTGCAGGACACCGGCCCTCCAGGAACAAGTTTGGTGACCCCCGGCTTAAACCATCACAATAACAAAGCACCAATTGACTTGGGGCTGTTCTGACCAATACTTTGGCCACAGATGTTCCGGGTACCCTTCAGCGAAATTAGTAAACTATTTAAATTAAGCAAAGGGGCTTTACAGGATTTTCAGCGGGGACCGCCTCACGAGACTTTTGAATGACTCCTGGTCATGTGCTCGCCTATAGCACATCCTTATGTACAATTTCGTAGAGACAAAGAGAAATGAATGTATATGAATGAAAGAAAAGCTCTTAAAATGTTAGAACTAAGGCAGATGTATCTTTGAGTAATATGCCATAACGTTTCTCATATGCTGTGGTTGTTCCAACTAACCAGGTTAATCAATGTGTTGTTTTAACCCTTATAGCAGATTAAAATGATCTGTATGTGTCTGAAATGTATGATGTCGGCTATTGAACGAAAGCTAGTGACATTTGCAGTACGTTGGTGTAAATGAAAAACTAGTAGTACAAACAGTATTCGTCTTATAATGTTTGATGTAAGATAGTTTCAATCCTTTAAGAGTTCTACCACGTCGGTAAGGGGCGTGGCCCCGCCCTTCATGGCAGCTGCTCATTGGCGGACAGTGCCATAGGGATGGATCAGACCAGGTCACTTAAAAACGCCCTGCAACAAAGAAACATTGCTTTTTGCATTAGCTAGCTTGCACATGCTACTGCTCTCTGCACCCTCTCGCCTGTCCGGACACCGCGCCGCCATGCAATTGGGTCACCACGAACTTCCTATGCAAACCTCTTAAGTTTCAGGACCGCCGAAACTGCACAAACTTCCGCAAACCGACTCTTAGCAGTCCGTTAGCTCTGTGACCCCAGGACAACAGCGATTCACAAGCATGTAAATCCCAAAGACGTCATCGAAACGAGTCACTACCCAATCAGGAGCACCGTGCTTCCCCAAAGCCAGCCCGGCGAGGGAAATTCGACTTCAGCAAGGACGCAAGTAACACAAACTAATGTTGTCTCTTGCTGATCTGGTGCAGATTGATCTTAAGCAGTTAAAGATAAAGCCATATCTTAGCTTTTGTCGTTTCTCAGGTGTGATTCTAAGATCTTGCAAGAAGTATTAGAATTAATTTGGGACATTGTCAACTCATTTTGCATCCTCTGAACTGCCTCTGTGTGCGCGTTTGTTTGTTGTTTGCTTATTACGTAGTTAGTTTCATGTATCGTAGTGTAGCTCAATAAATCTGTTCTCATTTTGTAAGAACTGTGTTCTTGTTTGTGTGCCTTGTGTGCATTGCCTCGAGCTGTAGATCTTGTTACCTTGCTAAAAGTTAACCCAATATACTGTGTTACGTTATTATCGTTGGCCAAGTAAATAATATTAACAAGATTGGTAAGATACGATGTCTTCTATTTGCGGGACCAATGGTAGATAAAGTGTGAATCTTTGAATCTGATTGAATCTGACTCAATTGAGTCAAATCAATAATTCGAATCTTCAGAATCCATTCATTGAAGTGAGCTAATAACAGATCACTCACGGCCATCTTCGTTTTGAAGAATCCCCCCTTCCACCCCTACTCCTCCTCCTTTCCTAGATGGGTGGCACGGTGGCCCAGTGGTTAGCACTGTTGCCTCACAGCAAGATCTTCACTGGTTCTAGCCCTTACCAAGCCAGCTAACGTTTCTGTGCGGAGTTTACATGTTCTGCCCGTGCTCACGTAGGTTTCCCCCAAATGCAACTTAAATTAATTGAATAGTCCAAATAGGCACCATAGACATGCTCCTAGTTAGTTATCTCAAGAGCAATCACTATCTGTTCATTAGCTACTACAGCAGGGGAGTTCTTGAGATCTACCTAAGCTCAAACTCCCCTCTCGCCTAGCAAACGGGAGGGAGCCCCGGGCTCGAGGACCTTATGAGCTCAGGGCTGTCTCCCGGGACAGCACGCCAAACAAGCCTTATAATCAATCATCAGCTAAATGTGAACTCTTAAAATAATCATGTAAAGCAGGGGTGCCCAATCCTGTTCCTGGTGATCTACCTACCTGCAGAGTTCAGCTGAAACCTTGATCAAACACACCTGTCGGTAATTACCAAGAGCTCCTCCAGATCCTACTTAGTTGGTTTAGTTGTGTTTGATTAGGGTTGGAGCTGAAATCTGTAGTAAGGTAGATCTCCAGGAGCAGGATTGGGCACCCCTGATGTAAAGGATGACAAAAGCAAGCACACAGGTTTGAGCTCATTTCCATTTATTATTGGCATAAAGTGCATGTTCATATATCATGATGTTGAGCGTGTGAGATGAATGTGAAGGTGCAGACAGGGCAGGTGAACACTGCGTTACATATAATAAGGTGCAGAAGTACCACAGAAGCAGCAGCTGGAAGAGATTGTACACTACTTTAATGGATTTACTGGGCTTTACTGCTATGGATCACAGTTAATCACTACAAACTGATATCTAACGCAGCCCAGTAATGGACTAGAGCACTGGTTCTCAACTGGTTTTCCGTCAGGACGACCAAACAAGGGGCTAATTATGTTTAGTTGTCAAAAACAGTTCTACGCATCACACATTTAATGTCTTAAATTGTTCTATAAAGTGCTCAAGATCAACAATATGCAAATTGTTAGACACTTCAGATTAGTTTCAAGCAAAGTTCTTTAAAAGGTTTCGAAAAACCATCGGTGCAGTTTAGTCAACCGTGACACTGAATGTTTTCTATTAAGTTCATATTTACAAAGTGCTTTCAATAAGAGAGCGTTTAGAAATAACCATACTATAAGAATTGTGCAAATTCGAAAGGAACAATAGTCAGGTTTGCATCTAAACGTGAAGCGAATTTTTTCAAAGTTAGCATAAACAAAGCAAAATAAGGTGGCGAAGTGGCTGACTGTAGCATTGGTAACCTAGCAACCAAAAATAAACAAGGCAGTCATAATGGAGACGGCTGATTGGTCATGTGGGTGTAATGTTCGCTATGTCAGAGATTATTTGTCAAGTTGTTTGAGTGGCTAACTGTAGTATTGGTAACCTAGCAACCAACAGTAAACAAGGCAGGCATAGTAAAGACGGCTGATTGGTCATGTTGGTGTAATGTTTGTTAGGTTAGTGTTTATTTGTCAAGTTGTTAGAGAGGCTGACTGTAGGATTGGCAACCTAGCAACCAAAAATAAACCAGGCATTTGTAAAGGACAATTTAGCCTACCCAATTTACCTGTACTGCATGTCTTTGGACTGTGGGGGAAACCAGAGCACCCAAAGAAATCCCAAGGGAACGCAGGGAGAACATGCAAACTCCACACAGAAATGCCAACTGACCCAGCCGAGGCTCGAACCAGTGACCTTCTTGCTGTGAGGTGACAGCACTACCTACTGCGCCACTGCGTCGCCTAATCTTTGTTATGTCAGAGTTTATTTGTCAAATGCATGAGCTCTGGGGTTGTTAATTGGTTTATTGAACACAACTGTAGACCTTAATTAACATTTTTAAAACTTATTAAATTGCTAAATTTTGGTCTTTGGGTCATGAACGAAAGGACAAGATCTTGGAGACAAGCGGCCGAAATGAGTTTCCTTTGCAGGGTGGCAGGGCGCACCCTTATGGATAAGGTGAGGAGCTCTGACACCCAGGAGGAGCTCGGGGATAGAGCCGCTGCTCCTCCACATCGAGAAAATTCAGCTGAGGTGGCTCGGGAATCTGTTTCAGGTGCCTCCTGGAAGCCTACCTAGGGAGGTGTTTCTGGCATGTCCCACCCGGAGGAGGCCTCGGGGAAGACCCAGGATGCGCTGGAGGGACAATGTCTCTCAGCTGGACTGGGAACGCCTTGGGATCCCGCTGGAGGAAGTGTCGGGTGAGACTGAAGTCTGGGGTTCTAACCTAAGAATGCTGCCCTCGCGACACGGCTCCAGAAAAGCGGAAGAAAATGAGTGTGAATCAATTTAGGTAACGTTGTTATTATTGCTAACACAGCTTAGTCATTGAACAATGCACTGGCGTCATCTCTATCAAAGAAAAATCACTTTGTATTTACTGTAGTGAATAAAATAACCTTACTGCAGTTTTAAACCTAATAACTTTGTTGAGCGCAACACAACTTCTCTGCTAGGAGTAGGAGCTCAATCGTGGCAGCCATGATTGGTTCTACTCCGAAGTGCCCTTCAGAAGGCAATATGTGCAATTTGGAGCACGACAATGATGTCATTCGCAATGCTTAATGGGATTGTCGTCGTTTAAAACTAACTAAAATTAAATTATTTAAATGAGACCGATTATGCAAAAATTACATTCGTAAGGGGTTTAAACACTCCCAACCTCTAATGGAAAAATGTATAAACTTTATTTTATCTTGGGAAACACTTTGACCAGAAGCTGAGAGAAAAAAGTCATTGGTTGCGGCCCCTCGATTGATTCGGGTAGGACCACAATTCATATGTTTTGATTGTGACTCAAGAATATAGACTTTAGCTTTTAACCACTTGTTGTCTTTCTGAAGCCTCGAACACGTTAGCAATAAGCTGATTGAGCTGCTGAGTAATATCTGTAGCACCGGACACACACTTCACCAATGTGAAGATCATGATCAGCCACCGTGGATTGAATATTAACTAGTTTGGCTGCTAAACTTTCAAAAGACGTGTTAAAGTCTTATCTGAGGCTCTCAAGGCTCTAAGGTCGACTTGTAGCGCATGAATCTCGGTTAACGTAACTTCTCTCTAAGCCTTCTCTCTCTTTATCCGCCCCTTCCTTTTGACATTTCAAAAGCGAATTAAGCCACAGAACACTAGATTAACAAATACAGTCAGGTACCAACAAAAGCACTGATGTTAAAAGATCAACGGAAAAGTTTTTTGGGAGTGGACCGCTGGCACGACCACTCCTCAGGCGCCAGAACCGGAATTCCTCCTGCAGAAACACTTTGACATTCTTCATTTGTACATGTAATTAGAGGGGGGAAGCTCTGCCCATTAGTTCCACTCATTATCATAGACAGCCTTGAGTAAGAAGCAGCCGTCTGCCATTGGTGTTTTCATAACGTACCTGCCGAAGGTAAAGTCAGTGCCTTACGATGCGACAATTAACACAGTGGTCTCCATAGCCTACTTCCTTCTTAGCCACTTCTTTTGGCTTTTTTAGCATTTCACAGTTTGCCCTATTTTGAATCGGCCACTTCGCTGACAAATTGGCTTTTTAAAAGAGCACTAGGAGCACGATCTCATTTAAAATTAAACCGAATCACCAAAACAACACTATACCAATAACTAAACGGGGCAGTATCAAAGAGTTATTAAAAAAATTGTGTCTGTCTTTGAGTTGAAACCTCACATACACACTCGGGACATCAGAGACTTATTTTACATCTTGTAAAAGGGGAAAGAATAGCTCAGTTTTAATGTTACGATGGCTGGTTGCTTTACTTAAAGCTCTTTCACAAAATCTTCCATCATATAAAAATACTAGCATTTCACATTTCACCCTGCTATAGGTTTTTCCCCCGCTTGCACTCAGTTGAGAACCACTGCTCTAGAGGTCTAGGGTTCCAGCTGTTGTCTCAGGTCCACAGGCACATGCTGGGGCACACGCAGTGGCTCCGGGCCCCGGGCGAGCGGATCACCAGATCCTTCACGATCTCCACCGTCCCGAACAGCGGGAACAGCTTTTCTCCCGGAGTCTCGTTGTAGGTGTAGATGTGTGAGCGGTTCTCCACATCGTAGAAGGACAGCTGACTCTGGTCGAAATCTAGGTATACCCCTACCTTGCGGGGGATTAGGGTGGCTGGCAGGGAGGTGAACGGCACGGTGAGGGCCTTCAGCTCGGTGCCGCGCTCCAGTCGCAGGGTCAGGTATCCGGTGTCGGTGTTCAGAGACTTAAAGCCCTTCCGTAATGCTGACTCTTTGGCCACGCCAATACGCCAGTCCATTTCTCCCACATCCACCTGCCAGTACTGGCGGCCGGAGCAGAAGCCTTCAGTGCCCACCGCACACCACCAGCCGTCAAAGCGCTGGTGATAATTGGGCACGTCACTGCGCTCGAAACCACAGCGCATGCGCCGCTCGTCCTCCGAGATCAGCAGGTCAGGGTTGGCAGTGTCCAGGTCAAGGGTCACTTCCACTGTCAGGGAACGAATGGAGAGTTCAGACTACTCCTAGTTATTTATGTGCAGAATTTTGTTAAACATCTGCTTATGGTCCCAGCATGTAAACATCTGCGCAGCAAGGATTTTTTAAATAAATGCAGCTTAAGGCTGATGTATACTTCTGCGTCATAAAAACCTCAGTGCCAGCTAGCGTTTCCGAAGTGCTACTGCAGAGCAACACAAACAACGCGCAGAAGTATAAATACACGGCAACGTGCAAGGCATGCGCTGTGAGTCACGCCGATCACTCCATGCAGAAGTATAAACCAGGCTTTAGTGAGAGTTTAAAAAGTCTTCTTACCTCCTGCATCACAGATCCAGTCCCACACTAAATAAAACAAAAGTTTAAAGAGAGAATTATTATACAATCTATCATTCGACCTTATAACAGTCTGGAAATTCAGATTAAAAGCAAAGCATGAGACTCACCCATGTGAGGAATGTACGGGGCGGCACCTGAAGTAAAAAGAGACCCATTTATAAATACAAATTACTAAAATATCTACAGGGTTCAAACACATTTTTACTACTAAAACGACATTGCCAGGTTTTCTGTGACCGTATGAAGCCTGTGTACATATATATATATATATATATATATATATATATATATATATATATATATATATATATATATATATGTATGTATGTGTATGTATGTATATATATATATATATATATATATATATATATATATATATATTTGGGATGCCACGGTTCTCAATATAATATTGAACTGTACTGTACGACCTCCACGGTTCAATACGCGCTTGTGAATTGCGGTTTTAACTCCTCCCCGCGAGTTAATATCCAATCACTATGCTCTAAAGTTAGGGGGCGCTTGATCATCATTCCACACTTTAACATGGCGAGCGGCGGTGAAGTGAGGCTGAGGCAACAGTACCAGGAAGCGCCGGCGAAGTGAGGCAACAGTACGAGGAAGCGCTGATGTCTTTCAAATCTGCGGTGTGAGGACATTTCGGTTTTGCCGGTAAGTATAATGCCAATAAAAGAAAAAATGGTGAACAAAAAATAACTGTGCAAGCATTGATTTACACGTATAACCATGACTGCACATCTGCAGCACATCACCCAGCAATATCACTGTCTGAAGGCAGAATAGGTAGGCAGAGAAGGTAATGAAGTCCTCCAAATAGCGACAATCCCTCGCTGAACCTTTCAAGCAAACAAACCCAACTGGTTCCGAAAGACTCATAAATAGCAAAGGCAGTGCGGGTGCTAATGCTAAAGATTTGCAGCCATTTTCGGTGATTGGAGATGTGGGCTTTTGTCATCTTATAAATGTATTTCAGACCTATTTTTTGGCTCCTCTGTTTCCACACGAGCCACTTCTGAGGAATAGTCTCCTAAACACACACACAAAAAAAAGGTTTTTGTGTTAGTAAAGCAATTTGTTCACTTAATCTCTAAGGCTTCTGTAATATTTGACCCAGGACCGCAAAACCAGTGTCTTTTTTAGTGTATAAATCACCTGAAAGCTGAACAAACGAGCTTTCCACTGATGTATGGTTTGTTTGGACAATATTTGGCTGAGATTCAAAAATCTTTAATCTATCTTTAATACTGAGAAAATCTTTTTATTTCATAGAGCTGTATCTCGATTAACTCTTAAGCAATGCATATAACTAATCAGAAAATTGAGTTGACATATTTACATTCTGAAATGTTCAATATCTACATGTGTCATGACCTTTACTAAAATGTGCAGTATGCAGAACTCCTAGTGGTTGAAATAGGTATTGCGCTCCAAATTCAAAATATTGGACTGTTTTTTTTTCCCACCCGACTCGTCCTTTAAAAATATAACGCACACGCAGGTTGCCAGATTGACGACACAAAAAGAAGCAGGCATGCTTGTTGATTAAGCCTTGCACTGTAAGCTGCTGAGCTAATGCTTACGTGTGTAATATTTGTATTATTAGCTAATTAAAAACCATATCTGTGTCTTATTTCAGAAACTGGTACTGACCTTTGGAGGTCACATTTCCAGCCACACCAGCACAGTAAACCGGCAGTGGGCTGTTATAGAGACTAAAACAAAGACAGATATTCTGACAGGCAGCGCACATTCTCAGAGCAGAATGACTTTAGCATCGTTTTTAAGATAAACAAGTACGTTCATTAGCACATATACGGTGTATTTTGGGCTATTCCCACAAATAAACATGTGCAGCAGAAGATTGGTTTTGTGCTCCAGGCTTTTATACGTTCTTCCTCTTCATACCTTGTCCAGGTCTTTGTTGACGAGTGTCCAGAACAGCAGCTCCATGGCGGACTGCAGGGTCTCCATCCGGCCACGCTTCCAGTGAGCCTCCAGGTCATCCAGAGCCGCCACCACCTGCTCTCCAGGCCACACGCTTTGCTAAACCCAGAGGAGAAAATACATGATGCTCACACACACACACAACACAACTGATGTTACAGGTATTAAAGTGTATAGATTAAAAAAACACCACCTCTGGGATCATTAGTGCATAACCCTAAACCTAACCCAATTATATAACACAGTAACAGCATTGTAATGGGGGAAACAGTAGTTTATTTGCTTACTTGTTACTGAAAAATGAAATTCCATTAGTAATGGTATTTAAATCAGCTATTTTCCTTCAAATGTAAAGAGTTATCGGTTACTGTATCGGTCAAAAATACCATATCGGTGCATCCGTAAACAGAACTGTTGATTTAATATGGAGTACTGAAGTCAAGAATATATGTAACTATAATTCAATTATCAAATATATATTTATAAATAGATATTTGTCTAATATATCGGCTATCGTCCTCCAAATCGAAAGAGTTATCGGTTATTGTATCGGTCAAAAATTCCATATCGATGCATTCCTAAACGGAACAGTTGATTTTATGTACAGTATTTAAGTTAACTATATATATGTATTCAAAAATTACATGTATATAAATATATATTTGGCTAATATATCGGCTATCGTCTTCCTGATTGAAAGAGTTATCGGTTATTGTATTGGTCAATAATTCCATATCAGTGCATTCGTAGAACTGTTGATTTAGTGTACAGTGTGTACAGAAAGTCAAGAATATATGTAACTATAATTCAATTATCAAATATATACTTATAACTATATGTTTGGCTAACATATAGGCTATTATTATCCAAAAAGAAAGAGTTATGTTATTGTATCAGTTAAAAAGATCCATATCAGTGCATCCATAAACAGAACTGTTGAATTTAATGAACAGTATTTAGGCCAAGTATATATATGCAAATATAATTCAAGTATTAAATATATAAAATTATATATTTGGCTTATATATCGGCCATCGTCTTCCAAATGTGAAGAGTTATCGGTTATTGTATCGGTCAAAAATTCTATATTGGTGCATCATTAAACAGAACTGTTGAAGGAATGTACATTAAATAAGTCAGAATATACATGTATAAATTTCATTAAATTATGAATTATATATTTCTAACTATATATTTGGCTAGAATATAGACTGTTGTCCTTCAAAACAAAAAAGTTATCTGTTATTGTATCAGTCAATAGGTTCCATATTGGTGCATCGCTAAACAGAACTGTTGATTTTATGTACAGTATTTAAGTCAACAACATATATGTAACTATAATTAAAATATTACTTATATATAATTATATATTTGGCTAATATATCGGCTATCATCTTCCTGATTGAAAGAGTTATCGGTTATTGTATTGGTCAATAATTCCATATCAGTGCATTCCTAGGACTGTTGATTTAATGTACAGTATGTACAGTAAGTCAAGAATTTATGTAAATATAATTCAAATTCATCAAATATATATTTTAACTATATATTTGGGTAGAATATGGGCTGTTGTCCTTCAAAACGAACAAGTTATCTGTTATTGTATTAGTCAAAAAGTTCCATATCGGTGCATCCCTAAACAGAACTGTTGATTTTATGTACAGTATTTAAGCCAAGAATATATAAATGAAACTATAATTCAAATATTAAATATATAAAGTTATATATTTGGCTAATATATCAGCCATCGTCCAACAAATCGAAAAAATTATCGGTTATTGTATCGGTCAAATCAATTGTGTTGGTGCATTTCAAATCAGAAATGTTGATTTTATATAGAGTCCTGAAGTCAAGAATATATGTAACTATAATTGAATTATCAAATATATATTTAATATTATATAGTTGTCAAATATATAGGCTATCGTCTTCCAAATGTAAAGAGTTATTGGTTATTGTATCAGTCAAAAATTCCATATCAGTGTATTCCTAAACAGAATTGTTGATTTTATTTACAGTATTTAAATCAAGAATATATATCCACCTATAACTAAAATATTAAATAGATATATAATTATATATTTATCTAATATATAGGCTAGCATCCACCAAATATGAAGAGTTATCGGTTATTGCATCGGTCAAAAATTAATATCGGTGCATTCCTAAACAGACCTGTTCATTTAATGTACAGTATTAAAGTCACAAATATATATGAACTATAATTCAAATATTATATATATATATATATATATATATATATATATATATATATATTATATATATATATATATATATATATATATATATATATATATATAAATAATATAAACAATATATATATATATATTTGTCTAATATATTGGCTATAGTCCTTCAAATATGGAGTTATCAGTTATTGTATCGGTCAAAAATTCCATATCAGTGCATTGCTAAACAGAACTGTTGAATGATTGTACAATATTTAAGTCCAATATCTATATTTTGGACAGTATTTAAATCTAGAATATATATCTAACTATAATTCAAATATTAAATAAATGAAATTATATATTTAGTTAATATATCAGCCATCGTCCTCCAAATCGAAAGAGTTATCGGTTATTGTATCGGTCAAAATTCCATATCGGTGCAAGTATATATAGTCTAAACAGGGTTAAACTGATTTAAGTACCTCAGGCTGGGCTCTCAGGTCTTTGCTCCAGGTTATAATGACCCTCTTGGCTTTCTCCAGATCCTGTTCGCCGCTCAGAGCCAGATCCTTCCAGTCACTTCTCTCTGGCCAGCCGTCAGTCTGCATCGGCCTTTTCTGATACAACAACATAAGCTGTTCTGTTACACTGGCAGCCTTTCCAGCACCAGAAATAACAGCGTTTTGGTTTCAGTAGGGCTTTTCACACTGTGCTTAAAGAATGAAGGAAATCAAAACTAACCATATTGATTTTTCTTTGTTCACATTGCTAGTTTTGGGGTGAACAAATTATCTGTGCATGTTATTGAGACAACATTGCTTGCCCTTGGAATCATTAATTGAAATTTGAAAATACACTTCCTTCCTTGTTTTCATATGAAATATTACATTTTTCCAGGAGCTGCTTCACAATACGAAAAAAAAAAAGGTTGCAGCTTCCGGTTCATGCTGACTTAAAAGTGTTTATTTACCTTGCTCTCCAGCAGAGCCGCCCACTCCAGAATGAAAGCCCTGCAGGTGAGTGTGGGCCAAACGTCCTCACTGTTGGAGATGTGCTCCAGCACCTCAGACCTCTGGGAAAAAAACACGTCCACATGTACAATGGAATTTTAGTTTTATTTATGTCTTTATGAAATTAATTTGGTTCAAGCTTTAAGTTTGGAGCCCAACCATAAGTAACTGAATATGGCACTGAATTTCTCCTCGTGTTTTTCACATTTTAATTCCAATCCAGCGTGAACAACTCAAATGTGAAATACTGTGTATCTGTATGTGTACCTGACAGACCCGTCCCAGGTCCTTGGCGAGATTCACAATAAACAGCTGACTCTCGTCCAGCGGCTCTCTCTTTTCATTCTTCGACTTCTTACGAAACTCCTGCACACACAAAATCATTGAATATCTAATGAACTTGATTACACCCCTCCCCAACTCCTCTAAATAAAATACACTAGAGGGCGCTGTCCACATTTTTGTGAGTTTTGTTGCACGTTTCAGATGACAAATCCAGTAGAGGGCGCTGTGTATATTTCTTTGTGCAAATCTAAAATGCGTTAATCAGGGTGCATTTTGTCGTACCTTTCAGATGACAAATCCACTAGGGGGTGCTGTCAACATTTGTGTCAATCTGAAATGCGTTACTTAGGGTGTGTTTTGTCACACGTTTCAGATGATGAATCCAGTAGAGGGCACGGTTTACATTTTTGCCAGTCTAAAATACGTTACTTAGGGTGTGTTTTGTCATACATTTCAGATGACAAATCTACAAAAGGGCGCTGTCTACATTTGAAATAATCTGAAATAAGTTACTTAGTGAGCGTTTTGTCGTACGTTTCAGATGATCAATCCACTAGAGGGCGCTGTCTTCATTTTTGCCAGTCTGAAATATGTTACTTAGGATGCGTTATGTTGTATGTTTTAGATAAAAAATCCACTAGAGGGTGCTGTCTACATTTGTGCGAATCTGAAATGTGTTACTTAGGGAGCATTTTGTCGTACGTTTCAGATGACAAATCCACTAGAGGGCGGTGTTTACGTTTCTGCGAATGTGCAATATGTTACTAAGTGCGTGTTTTGTCATACGATTCAGATGACAAATTCATTAGAGGGCGCTGTTTACATTTTTGCCAGTCTGAAATACGTTACTTAGGATGCGTTTTGTCGCACATTTCAGATGACAAATCTACAAGAGGGTGCTGTCTACATTTGTGTTCATCTGAATTGTGTTACTTAGGGTGCGTTTTGTCGTATGTTTCAGAGAATTAATCCACTAGAGGGCGCTGTCTACATTTTTGCGAGTCTGAAATGGGTTACTTAGGATGCGTTTTGTCGTACGTTCAGATTATAAATCCACTAGAGGCGCTGGCTATATTTTTGCCGGTCTCAAATATGTTACTTAGTGCGTGTTTTGTCGTACGTTTCAGATGACAAATCCACTAGAGGGCGCTGTCTACATTTGTGCGAGTCTGAAATGCGTTACTTAGTGTGCATTTTGTCGCACATTTCAAATGGCAAATCTACTGGTGGGTGCTGTCTACATTTGAGCACATTTGAGTACGTTTCAGATGAGAAATCCACTAGAGGGTGTTGTCTAAGATTTTTTGAATCTGAAATATGTTAGTTAGGGTGCATTTTGTTGGATGTTTCCGACACATGTTCTGCTTGTAAACGTCCAGAAGGCAGAGCTTGTCGTACAGATCAGCTAGCAAACCACTGAGCTAAAACCTTCCCCCAGGGGCCCGTGCCGCTTTGCGGTCCACAGAGTTAGGCATGAAAATAATCCTTTATTCATCAATAATATGTCCCTGTAAACATCACCAGTGTGAAAAAGAACACAAGTTGTTGTCATCATACTGCCCCCTAGTGTTTATTTGACCTACGCACTGCTGTCAGACGTATAACAATATTGACAATCAGCCTATGTTGCAAATCATGACAACAAGTAGTGACTAAACAGCACACTAGAAGAAAGAAAGTGCGCTTGAAGGTCACAGGTTCAAGTCTCAGCTGGTTGTGGAGTTTGCATGTTCTCCCCGTATTGGCGTGGGTTTCCTCCGGGTGCTCCGGTTTCCGCCACAGTCCAAACACATGCACTATAGGAGAATTGATTAACTGGCCGTAGTGTATGTGTGTGAATGAGTGTGTTTGGGTGTTTCCCAGTACTGGGTTGCAGCTGGAAGGGCATCCGCTGTGCACTATTCTGCACTTTTTAATGGCTCTTGTATTAGTCAAACGTGACCGTTTTTCATAGATGTTTTCAGTTCAGATGAAGACACATAAGGTTGTCTATGAAGGGCAAATAAACAAACCCAGTGCTTCATTAAAAAGCCGCTCATGTAGGCTCCACTTCCTCCGTCTCCAGCTGATGAGCAGAAAAACACTCTTTAGAACTTTAGAAACTTCAGTATGCCTACTGATATCAAAAATTCACTTAATGGCTTTGCTAATCTGTGATATATATTGTGATATGAATGCCATATGACTTGAATAGGTCTACTTGTAAAGCTTCCATCATTTTAGATCGACTGAAGGTGATTTTGTAAGGAAGTAAATCATGCATAAAATACAATGAACAAATTACAAGCATCGCTAAATACAGTAAAGATAAAAGTGAAACAGTGTTTTGCAGTCTTCATTTCAACATTGCGTGTCCCTCATTGTATAAATAACTAAACAAAATTAATGTTTAATAACGTTACAAATGTAATAATGTCTTGCTTTAAAGGGGGTCTATTATGTAAAAATCACTTTTATAAGGGGTTTAAACACAGTTGTGTGTCAGCAGTGTGTGAAAACATCCAGCTTCTAATGGTAAACATTAATTAAGTATATTGTTTATAATCACAGTTGATGAAAACAGTCTGCAGAAACACTCTGATTGACATTCTCCTGTTGTATGATGTCATCAGAAGGGGAAAGCCCCGCCCACAAGTGACCATCTCTCCCTCATTACCATAGGGACGATAGTCTTGTTTTTGAATCTGCCGCTACGCTGACACGTAGGCATTTGTAGCTCCGCCCTCTTTTTAAAAGAGCACAATCTCATTTGCATTTAAAGCGACAGCCACCAAAACATCCTAATATGTTTTAAAGCCAAAAAGGGTCCATTTAGAGAGTTATAAAACAGTATTTGAGTGGTATTTTGAGCTAAAACATCCGATTTTACTTACTTTACATCTTAAAAAAAGCATAATAACTCCCCTTTAAACCGCTCATTTGTGACTATTCTAGATGCACAATTGATGCTGAAATGTTATATATTTGCAGCCTTATTTCACATTTCTCTGTTTTATATATATATATTCTAGATGTTAATATATTCAAGAATGTACCTTAAACTTCTCCGTGACGTTCTTGGTTGGTTCAACCAGAAACTGGAGACACTGCATCATGGTGGCTGGAGATCTCCGAAATCCTTTGAGAGAGGAAAACACAACACTGAAAGATTGATTTGTGCCAAAACACGGCCCACAGATAAACATCTGCACATCAGAGCTTGACATGAATGTTTTTTTACATCAATATGAAGATATTTTTTTTAACTGTGTTTAACTTTAAATTTTTTTGTTTAAAGATCTAAGTGATTTTATTATAGGCAATTGGCAACTTTTCATATACTACCAGCAATCTCATTGTCATTATATCAAATGTAACTTCCCAACCATAAAACTGTGGGAAATGCTGAGTGGCTGCTGACTTTGAACTATAGTCACGTGACCACTGTGGCTGGTGTGCGATAAGGTTAACACCACTAGTGCTGATACACCTGATGGATTTTCAGGACCAAAACTGTCACGCACACCTTGCCCTTGCCCTGAATAATGCAAAGCTTTGGGAGTTCAGGGTTGTTGCAACATACAGCACTACTAAACCTTAGTGAAAAACAAGTTAGAGGTAAGGTTATTGTGCTGAAAGTGCTCTAATAGTGTACTTCAGAACTTAAACATATACTTTAAAGGGCACCTATTTTACCCCTTTTTTAAGATTTAATTTTAATATAATGGTTCTTCTGAGTGTCACGTGACCTGGGTGTTTCAATTCACCTCAGTCACATGACCTGGGTGTTTCGAAACACATTAGTCATGTGACCTGAGCGTTTCGAAACACTAGTCACGTGACCTGGGTGTTTCAAATCACCTTAATCACGTGACCTGGGTGTTTCGAAACACATTAGTCATGTGACCTGAGCGTTTCGAAACACTAGTCACGTGACCTGGGTGTTTCGAATAACCTTTTTCAAGTGACTTGGGGGTTTCAATTCACCTCAGTCACGTGACCTGGGTGTTTCTAAACACTTTAGTCACGTGACCTGGGTGTTTCAAATAACCTTAGTCAAGTGACTTGGGTGTTTCGAAACACTTTAGTCATGTGACCTGGGTGTTTCAAATCACCTTAATCACGTGACCTGAGCGTTTCGAAACACTAGTCACGTGACCTGGGTGTTTCAAATCATCTTAGTCACGTGACCTGGGTGTTTCAAATCACCTTAATCACGTGACCTGGGTGTTTCGAAACACATTAGTCATGTGACCTGGGCGTTTCGAAACACTAGTCACGTGACCTGGGTGTTTCGAATATCCTTAGTCAAGTGACTTGGGTGTTTCAATTCACCTTAATCAGGTGACCTGGGTGTTTCGAAACACAGTCATGTGACCTGGGTGTTTCGAATCATCTTAGTCACGTGACCTGGGTGTTTCAAATCACCTTAATCACTGGACCTGGGTGTTTCGAAACACATTAGTCATGTGACCTGAGCGTTTCGAAACACTAGTCACGTGACATGGGTGTTTCGAATAACCTTAGTCAAGTGACTTGGGTGTTTCGAAACACATTAGTCATGTGACCTAGGTGTTTCAAATCACCTTAATCACGTGACCTGGGTGTTTCGAAACACATTAGTCATGTGACCTGGGTGTTTCGAATCATCTTAGTCACGTGACCTGGGTGTTTCAAATCACCTTAATCACGTGACCTGGGTGTTTCGAAACACATTAGTCATGTGACCTGAGCGTTTTGAAACACTAGTCACGTGACCTGGGTGTTTCGAATAACCTTAGTCAAGTGACTTGAGTGTTTCAATTCACCTCAGTCACGTGACCTGGGTGTTTCTAAATACTTTAGTCATGTGACCTGGGTGTTTCAAATCACCTTAATCACGTGACCTGGGTGTTTCGAAACACATTAGTCATCTGACCTTGGTGGTTCGATTCATCTTAGTCACGTGACCTGGGTGTTTCGAATCATCTTGGTCACGTGACCTGGGTGTTTCGGATCATGCTTTGGTGCATTGTTTCGAAACACTTGCGCTTCAGGATCTCAACACTGTGTCGCAACGTCAGTTTCATGTCAGCCATCCCTGACATTAGTTTTATATTCGCACATTTATTAATTTAACGGTCTCTATATTGTTTACTACGCTAATTAAACATTGTTAACCACAGCCATATCACCCTGCTGCACAAGACCGTTTACTCATTGAAGCTAAGCATGGCTGAGCCTGTTCAGTACCAGGATGGGAGACCACATAGGAAAACTAGGTTGCTGTTAGAAGAGCCCTAATGCCCCAGTATAGTGAAGGGGACTGTATACTGTCAGTTGGTGCCTTCTTTCGGATGAGACGTTAAACTGAGGTCCTGACTCTCTGTCGTCATTAAAACTCCCGTGGCAATTCTCATAAAGAGTAGGGGTGTAACCCCGGTGTCCTGACCAAATTCCCTCTATCAATCATGGCCTCCCAATCATACACAATAAATACACTATATACATACAACACTAGCACTTTTTAACTGGCTGAACAATGTTGTTCCTGGATAGTCATTGGTTGCTAATATGACTTCCCAAATTAGAATTAGCAAATAATACTCTGAAATATGCTATTAAGGGGAAAGTCCGAATGTGTGAATATAAAATCAACTTGACCTCAATCTAAAACATTCACAAAGAGGAACTATAGGCTATATATACCACTATGAACAACTCATACTATAGGTCATATTGAAAAACTAAATCAATTATTGAATACATTTTATTAATCACATATTTCAGACTAGACTAAACCAGTTAGCCAGTAATGTTGTACTATTGCTGAGACACAATATTAGTACTCAAAATCGTCAAGAAGAGAAAATTAACAAACATAGTTAATTAACAATGATTAAATTAAATGCATTATGCTGGAGTTCGGTGAGTTATTAAATGTAAGGTAAATCGTCCTGCATTTGAATGTTATGAATGCCTGTAAGGCTGAATAAACAGAGACACATGACTTTGCTGCACTGCACAGGATCTGTCATGTATATTGATGAGCTGATGCCCTTGAATGACATTCTCGACTCGATATTTGACATGTTTTTCCCACTGCGAAGGAATGTAAACAACACCATGCTGCTGCTGCTGCCTTTCCATGACGTATGCAAGAAAACGCCGCACAGGGTTAGCAGAAAACAGATTACACCGAAAATAAATGATCATGTGGTGCAGTAAATGTCCCTCTGCATTGATTGCTGTACCTGTAATAGTTGTGCTGATGTGATGTCGTCTTCTCTGGAGAGAGTCGTCTGGTTGGTCTGTGCAGGCTGAAATGCTGCGGCGAATACTTGACCTTGTTTACATACAATGACTTCGCAGAGCCGAACGAACACAGCCGAACGTCACTCGGGCTTTTCCGGAAAGCAAGCGGAAAGACCTCGGCTCCATGTTTATTGTGGCACTTACAGCGTGAATATTCAGAATTAAAGCTGATCAAATGTTTTTATTTGTGGAGTGCAACTCTGAATTATCGAAAATGGACAAAAAAAATCAATAAATAAATAAACTAAAACCATTATTTTCCCAGAGATGGGTTGCGACTGGAAGCGCATACGCTGTGTAAAAACTAGCTGGATAAATTGGTGGTTCATTCCGTTGTGGCGACCCCGGATTAATAAAGAGACCAAGCTGACAAGAAAATTAATGAATGAAAACCATTGTGTTAAATGATTTCCTAATCATTCATTATTTTTTTTTGGCTTAGTCCCTTTTTTAATCAGGGTCGCCACAGCGGAATGAACCGCCAACTTATCCAGCATATGTTTTACGCAGCGGATGCCCTGAAACCCATCACTGAGAATCACCCATACACTCCTATTCACACACATACACTTCAATTTAGCCTACCCAATTTACCTATAGCCAGTGCAGGGGCGCAACTACACATTTACTGAGGGGTATGCGGGTTCAAATTTTGTGTGATCCCTCTTATTTTATATTAATTAATTAAAAATAAATGAAGACAAATTTTCAGATTAATCTTATAACTTTTAACATTATGTATGACAGTTTATTTTGATAAAAATAAAAACAAATCTAAACAGTTACATCTACATGAACACTTTCCGCTGTGGGACTGCATGTTATTGTGTTAAATGATTTTGAATTAAACAATAACAATATTATATTCGTTTAAAATGCAAAATAATGTTTTTTTAACAAAACATATTTATTTATTTTTATTATTTGAAACTTTTAATAAGGATAATTTAAAAAAAAAAAAATAGTTTTGGCACAACGGCGCCCCCCATGTGTCGCGCCCCTATGCGCCGCATATACTGCATACCCCCTTGTTGCGCCACTGAGCCAGGGGCGTATTCAGTGATTTTGGAGCCCTAAGCAATTCCAACCAAAGTTTTAAAATGCTCCTTTTGTACTTACATTTTTTAAATTATTATTATTTTTTTTGCAGTTTTTTTCTTATATCATTCGATCTCCTTTTATTGTGATGCAAAATAATAATAACAACATGTAAAACACCTTGTAAACCTTTAAAAAACTTTGTTTTCATAAGATGAATGCAGAGCTAAACATAATTAATGAACTATTTCGTTTTTAAAACTAAATCTTTTCTGATTTGACTGCTAGACTGGTCCAAGATTGAAGGTGGGGGACACATTTGCGCAGATGTTATCATTTTTAGACCCTCACTGTACAAAATATGATAGAAAACAACATTATATATTGTTGCCTGCTGTATATATTTATATGTATCATTTATACGTCTAGGTATTTATTTGGGGGTCCTCATATTTCCTTGGTCCCTTGGCAGACGCTTACCTTTCTTATTGGTTAAATCCACCCCTGCCTATAGCGCATGTGTATGGCGGAGACAGGTGATTTCTCATGACACCAGAGCACCTGGAGAAAATCGACGCCGTCACTGGTGAGACATCTAAAAATATTTAATTAATGTACATGATTAATATGCTTTAGTTAAATGTATTTCATTTTGGTTATTAATTTCCTTACTGATTCATGTATATTTCTGTATTCCCCTGTATAAATAAGAGTTTTACTGAATAGATTTATATGATAATATATTAGTAGAAGTTCGGTTATTATCTTATTTGTTATTTCATAATTATTATCTTAAATATTACTACTACTAAAAGGCTAAAAGAGACTTAAAATGACCAAAAGTTTGTAAATTAAATGTTGTTTTGAACCATACATTCATTCATTTTTTTAGGATAAGTCCCTTTATTAATTTGAGGTTGCCACAGTGGAATGAACCGCCAACTTATCCAGCATATGTTTTTGCACAAGTGGGCCCAATATTTTATCTCGCCTACTAGGGTCCCTCAACCCCACGGCCCGGCACTGCGTGTGTAAGAGAGTGTGTGTCTGCCTAAAATGACCACTAGACGGCGTCATTTCTCTCAAAATAAAATCCTTAGCCAGTAGATATTGGTCCACACAGAGCAAGGGTGTCCAAACTCGGTCCTGGAGTGCCGGTGTCCTGCATAGATTTGCTCCAACTGCCTTCACACACCTTCCTGGAAGATTCTAGTATACCTTGAAAGAGCTTGATTAGCTGGTGCAGGTGTGTTTAGTTGGGGTTGAAACTAAAATATACCTATATATATATATAATATATAATTCTCATATGAATATTCTCCTTATTACGAATATATTTATTTCCCAGAGATGGGTTGCGGCTGGAAGGGCATCTGCTGCGTAAAAACTTGCTGGATAAGTTGGCGGTTCATTCCGCTGTGGCGACCCCGGATAAATGAATGAATGTATGAATATATTTACTGTCACTTTTGAATAATTTAAAGCAATAGTTCACATAAAAATGGAGATTTACGCACACTCAAGTGGTTCCAAACCTTTATTTTTTCTGTTGAACATGAATGACGATGTTAGGAATAATGTTGAGGAAAAAAGCAGCCATTGCTGTCCATAGTAGGAACCAAAATTACTACGAATGTCTATTTTCTGTATTATACACTTGATTATCGTCACTTTTGCATTATTTAAAGGAACAGATCACCCAAATTAATATAAAATGCACAGACAGAAACTCAAACAGGTTTGGGACCAGTGGAGGGTGAGTAAATGATGATGGAATTGTTTATTTTTTGTGTGAACTGTCCCTTTAAGACATCCTGAATCCTACTGAGTCAGCACTTTTGAACAGCAGAGTACATTCAGTTTTACTAGACGCCAGAGTTCTGTCTGTGTTAATTATTGACTGAATGTCCTGAAATTCTCAAGACGAGGAGTTACAATAACATTCCCAGCTATGTGTTAGTGGTTATAACCAGTGGTGTAAAGCAACAAATTACAAATACTCAAACTACTACCCAGATAGCATATGCATGTGGGCCACTTTAGGCAGTTATGCGGCACTGGTGGTCTTCCTTCGGCCCAGACTAAATGAATGTGAGCCTGAAGTGGCCCACCATTACAATGCCAAAAGGAGGGCAAAGATTCTAATTCAAGATTTGGCACTTATGGCAAAATGTAATCTGAATGTGAGCTTAATGTGGCCCATGTAAAAAATTTGGCCCATATGATGGAGGAGAAATGTGGGCCACAGTTAGCAAAATAGTGGCATAGCCATTTATAGTGGCATAGTCATTTATAGTGGCATAGTCATTTAAGGGTAAACCTAATGTGGCTCACACGTGTAAGTGCAAATGTGGCCCATATGTGGGCCACTTTTAGCAAATATTTAGCACAGTAAGCTCTGGCTAATGCAACCATTAGCCCATAGTGGCCCAGAGCAGATATGGGAAATGTGGACCAGTTTACCTAAAACAAATGTGGGCCACTTTTGGCAAATATTTGGCACAGTAAGCTCTGGCTAATGTGGCTGTGAGCCTAAAGCGGCCCAGAGAAGGTATGGCAAATGTGGCCCAGTTATCTTAAAACCTTTGTGGACCACATAGACTAAAGTCAGCATCATTGAGAAGTGATTGCTTCAGTTGGGCTCATAGCCCTGACACCCTTAATATACATTTTCTTTTGGGCTGCTGCAACTTTTAAGAACTTTGCTTGAAACCTGTACCACATGTCTTTGGACTGTGGGGGAAATCGGAGCAAACCCATGCGGAGATATCATACATAACAAGACCCAAGCGTTTGTTTTAATGTCTTTATTCACAGTGAAAAATTAAAAAAATATGCATTTCCATAAATGGCAATTATAAAATAAAGATTGAAGAGACATCATTTTGACAGAGAACATATTTACACAGACAGATATGACAGCGGCTTTGCTAAAATTAATTTCGATGATCTCTACCTAAAGAGACGATAACATTTGTTCTACCTAAAGAAACGAAGAACATCACGCTCATACAAACACACATCATGATTACATCGAACAAAACAGTACTGCAAATAAACGAAATATTCCCTGTAATGTCCAAAACATGGCTTCAAATATCCATTATTGTGCATATAGTTCAGTACAGTACATCATACGCCACTTTGGTATGCGATGAACCCGCCATCTCTCTAAAAAACCAAACATGAAATTAAAACAAGCTTCATTTATTCATCGTTATTAAACAGACTTTCGTGAATCTGGCCCAGAATCTAAAATGCTGAATGTAATGCCGAGTTCAGACTGCATGATTTTAGCCCCAATTTTAACCACTCAGAGCAGAGTAAGGCCTTCACCTATTCAGGTAGAATAGGTGCACATGACAGAGGAAGGCCCTTATATGACCAATCAGAGAAGATTAGCGAAATCTAGCCAATCAAATCAGAGTTGAGCCTCCATATATCCAGTCAAAGCACAGTGGGGCCTTCACATTGTCCAATCAGAGCAGAGAAGGGCCTTCATATGACCAATAAGAGTAGATTGGGGTAATCTGGCCAATCAGAGTAGATTAGGGTCTCTTTCTGTCCAATCAGAGCAGACTAGGGCCTTTACCTGTTCAATCAGAGCAGATGAGAGCCTTCATGTGACCAATCAGAGCAGAGTAGGGCCTTTAAATGTCCAATCAGAGCAGAGGAGGGTCTTCATATGACTAATCAGAGCAGATTTTGATCATCGGGCCAATCAGAGCAGAGTAGGGCGTCCCTCTGTCCAATCAGAGCAGAGGAGGTCCTACGCATGACTAATCAGAGCAGATTTGGGTCATCTGGCCAAACGAAGCAGAGTAGGACCTCAATCTGTCCAATCACAGCAGACTAGGGCCATCACCTGTCCAATTAGAGCAAAGGAGGGCCTTCATATGACTAATTAGAACAGATTAGGGTAATCCGGCCAATCAGAGCAGAGTTGGGCCTGTAAATGTCCAATTAGAGCAGAGGAGGTCCTACACATGACTAATAACAGTAGATTTGTGTCATCTGGCCAATCGGAGCAGAGTAGGGCCTCAGTCTGTTCAATTAGAGCAGAGTAGGGCCTTCATATGACTAATTAGAACAGATTAGAGTAATCTGGCCAATCAGAGCAGAGTAGGGCCTCCATCTGGCCAATAAGAGCAGATTAGGGCCTCTATCTGTTCAATCACAGAAGACTAGGGCCTTCACCTGTCCAAATAAGAGCAGAGGAGAGGCTTCATATGACCAATCAGAGCAAATTAGGATTCTCTGGCCGATCAGAGCAGTGGACAGTTTTCATATGACCAAATAGAGCAAATTAGGGTAATCTGGCCAATCAGTGCAGACAATTGCCTTCACCAGTCCAATCAGAGCATAGGAGGGCCTTCATATGACCAATTAGAGCAGATTAGGGCCTCTATCTGTCCAATCCGAGCAGAATAGGGTCATCTGGCCAATCGGAGCAGAGTAGGGCCTTGATCTGTCCCATCAGAGCAGACTAGGGCCTTCACCTGTCCAATCAGAGCAGAATAGGGTAACCTGGCCAATCCAAGAAGAGTAGGACCTCTATTTGTCCAATCAGAGCAGAATAGGGCCTTCACCTGTCCAATCAGAGCAGAGGAGAGTCTTTTAATGACCAATCAGAGCAGATTAGGATCATCTAGACAATCAGAGCAGAGTTGAGCCTCCACCTGTCCAGTAAGAGCAGAGTAGGGCCTTCACCTGTCCAATCAGAGCAGAGAAGAGCCTTCATAGGATCAATCAGAGCAGATTAGGGTAATCTGGCCAACCAGAGCAAAGTTATTCCTCCATCTGACAAATCAGAGCAGAGTAATGCCTCAATCTAACCAATCAGAGCAGAGGAGAGCCTTCATATGACCAATCAGAGCAGATTAGGGTAATCTGGCCAACCAGAGCAGAGTTATTCCTCCATCTGCCCGGTCAAATCAGAGCAGAGTAGGGCCTCCATCTGACAAATCAGGGCTGAGAGGTGTCATCTAACCAATCAAATAAGAGTAGGGCCATCTGACCAGTGAGAAGAGAGAAGAGCCATCTGACCAATCAGAGCAGAGTAGTGCCTCCATCTGACCAATCAGGGCAGAGTAGACTCTAAAAGCCCAGTTGAGTGAGACTGGATCCTTGTACCAAACATTTCAGACACTGTGGAAGAAGAGCTGACGCTGCAGCGTGCAATTAAAGACAACTCTTCACCTAAATAAAGTTCAAATCATTCTTTAAACAGTCCTAAAGAGGGCACTTTAACACCTTTGGCTTGGAAAAGTCACAAAGTTAGCGCAGCAGCAGTTTCACATTCATTTCAACCGCTGCACATTCTCTTCCCTTTGTTTCCCAGTAGTGTTGCAGTGTTCTCCTCCTCCTCCTCAAGTATTTGCATAGGTCAAGTCATATCTCATTTTGGTGGTGTTTTTTTGCAAAGGCAGCAGATTGACGCACTCGTCTGTTTGTAGATCAGCTGTCAGGCCTGGGAAAAGCTCAACAGCTGCTCATTTCCGCTGAGGATAAGACGCATGCTGGAGTGTGCATTAATTACTAGTGTCGCTGGGCTGTTGCGAGTCTGTGCTGTGAGGTAGAGCTTCATACGCAGGCAGATCCGTGTCAGGCTCTGAAACTGTAGCCTGTGGATCCTCCGAGGACAGGATGTCAAACGGGACGTCAATGGATTGGACCGACTGACGAATGCTTTCCTCGTATGTGGGAGGAGGCTGTGGAGAAAACAAAGATAAAGCTGGAGTTAAAGCACATGAGACATAACAGATTGTGCAGGATAGATAACTTATGAGCACATGTTCAGTGGGGGTTTTGCTGGTGACCAAACGTGTAAGGCATGGGTCTCAAACTCAATTCCTGGAGGGCCGCAGCTCTGCACAGTTTTGCTCCAGCAAACAGTATATACAATATACCGAGGTGTTCAAAAGAGTCATGGCAGTATCTCAATATGCGTTCTTGTCTGTACTTGCGTTCTTGTGTTCTCATCCCTGCTGAAAAATCCAGCTTAAACCAGCCTAGGCTGGTTGGCTGGTTTTAGCTGGTCGACCAGTCTAGTTTTAGAGGGGTTTTGGCCACTTCCAGGCTGGTTTCCAGCCATTTCCAGCCTGGTCTTAGCTGGTTAGGCTAGAAAATGACCAGCTAAATCCAGCTAAAACCAGCTTGACCAGCCTGGTTTAAGCTGGACATAGCTGGTTTTGGCTGGGCTCTCAGCCTGGCTAGGCTGGTCAAGCTGATTTTAGCTGGTCATCTCCCAGCCTGACCAGCTAAGACCAGGCTGGAAATGGCTGGAAACCAGCCTGGAAGTGGCCAAAACCCCTCTAAAACCAGCCTGGTTGACCAGCTAAAACCAGCCAACCAGCCTAGGCTGGTTTAAGCTGGATTTTTTAGCAGGGATGAAACGTCATCAACCGTCGCCAAAGTACTGTTCCAATTCAAAGTTCACATCTTTCCACGTACAGATGAAATTCCCAGATGTGTACTTGCTCTGCCCCTTTGGCCAAGGATGCATCGAGAGGTGACTTGTGCGAACTTGCGTAGCTCAGATATCCCAGAATGCATTGCAGCATATCCAGCAAGCGCTAATGGCAGAGGACGAAACCCGCACGGTTTTAAAAATATTCCTTTACTGTGTCACAAAATAAAGTTTTAAGAGTTTTTCAGGCGAGAATGTAGCTGTTTAAACTCGAATCAGCAGTTTATTCACAAAGATAGTGCCTCTTTAACGATGTGCCTCAGCTTATGCGGACTCCGACTCCCAGACTGCCAGCGGGAGCTCCGTCATCAGCTCCCCCACCAGAGCAGCTTTACTTCGGCCAGTTCATCTCGGACGTACCGATGGATCTCATCTCTCCATTGTAGTTAAAACATGATATTTAATACATCTTGTGAATATCTAACGGACAGTTTTTGGTCTTATAAATCTATTATTTGTTCTCAGGTGTATTGTTTTGGCATTGTTATTTTGTTACCTTTTATAATTGTCTTAAATTATGTTACGGTGTTTTACGCTGTTTGTTTTTACCGAATTGCTTGATGTAATCTTTATTTCTTATTGTGTGTATAATTACTATTGTAGTTTAATAAATCTGATAATCAAAGACACGTGTCAGTGTATAATAACTCATTTTAATTCACATTTTTATGAATATATGTGTACATTTTCTTAAATCAAAAATGTAGATTTATAATATTAATATAATATTAATTAAATCATTTTATTGTTAATGTACAGTGAAACTGATGAATCCATGGTGAGGTAAGTGAGGTTATAAAGTACACTGCTGTTCCACTTGAAGAAGTACCCGACTTGTGTCCTCGCGTCCTCGGGAGTGCGTTCTTCCAAGTCTGAACTTCCAAGGACGTAAGTCCGAACTTTGCGTACTTGGTATTGAGAAACAGCCATGGACACCTTCATTAGTTGGATCAGCTGTTTGATCAGGGTTAAAGCAAAGCTGTACAGAGCTGTGGGCCTTCAGGAATTGAGTTTGAGACCTAGGCTGCGTCCGAAACCGCATACTTCCATACTATATAGTACGCTAAAATCAGTATGCGAGCCGAGTAGTATGTGAGTAGTATGCGAGAAGTACCCGGATGACTTACTACTTACGCTTACATCCTATGGACGCTGTGCTATCCCATGATGCCCCGCGAGAGAATTCAAGAATGGGAGTGAAGCGACACAACTGACGTAGGTAGGTCACGTGACCAGGCCCGGATTGGCTAATCAGGCGGACTGGGAGAATTCCCAGTGGGCGGTCTGTTTTTTGGCTGCGAGGCCCGGTGTCCCTAGCTCCAGAATCTGTCGCTCTCAGCAGTCACACTTTTTAAAAAATAATTCATTTATTTACTTGACCATAGCCTTCTTATTCACTATTTTACCGCAGCTCTGCTCTTTTTATCTATTTTCTCGTAGTCTCGTGAGCAAGATGCAGCCTGCAGGTTAATGATGACATAACTAGATAAGTCACCATTCAATGTACAGCTGTTGTGGTACAGTGGTTAGCACGTCAGGTTATGCCTCCGCCAACACGGATTCGGTCCTCGTCTGAGTAACATTTTTTATTTTTATTGTTAAGACATATAATACTGTAAGGGTTGTTGAACATTTGAAGTTCTAAAACAGCTGTTTTCTAAAAAAAGACGTGATAGTGTAATTAGAAACTGAATTAGAAATGACCTTAATTTAATATAAGTGTTCCTCTTAAATTTTTACTCACTCCTCTGACCTCTAAAGGGTGCTCTAGCGACAGACGCTAGAGGCCATGGTCTTTAGCCTCCTTGGTAGAGCGCCCGACTCCCATGCGGAAGGTTGCCGGTTCGAAACCAGCTCGGAGCGGGTTGGGTGGCGTAAAACCGACAGGGGTTACATTGGTGCCGTGACCCGGATGGGAGTGAGGTTTACCTGCACAGCACACACTAGCTGGCCTCCGTTACACAAATATGGACCCTTTAAGTGACAGCTTCCACCCCAGTGACAGCTTGCGTCCCTTTATTTCTGAGAGTGTGCTATTGTCTGTCTCAGTCAGTCACGGATGAGCAGATCTACCGTAAAAAGCCTTTGGCAACAAACTACTGTTTACACTCAGGGTGCAAACAGACACGTGGCGATTATTTTATTATTATTCAATACTGCTGCTGGTTGGCAGTTCAGTACGTCCTCTGAGATAAAGACCTTTGCTCTATGCTAATTCATAACACAGTGCTCAACGTTTATTTAAACAAATTGAACAGCTGATGTTCCTTCTCAGCCTGCAGCAACTTTCCCTTCTGCATTGTATCTCTTGTCTTTCTGTCAGTCAAACCTTTGGAAACCGTAAGATTTGTTAATGTTTTAATAGAAGGCTCACCAAGGCTGCGTTCATTTGGTCAAATCTTGAAATTACCTTGGAAGGGCTCATTTTCTGAGGTAATCATCAGGGTCATTTTAGGGCAGACAGAAGTGGATTGGACGAGTTCAGTAAGAGCAGACAGATGGACAATGAGTGTATTCTCCACTGATGTTTACTCTTCCAGAGTGCTTTATTATGTTTGATGGCCATTTATTGGCATTATCGTATTTGTTTGGTGAAATGCTCTCAGCCTAAACAGCAGCGCAGGTGAGTCCTGTCAGTGTCTGCTGTCCATTTCTGGGATAGGATCATGTTACGCTGCGGTCATTCATACTGAACATCTATTGTGCTGTTCGGCTGCACCTGCTGGAGATGAGCAGCTCGCTGACAGAGCAGATAAAAGCTTCTGAAAGCGCTGCGTGGTTCTTTTTAAGATCAAAACCACTAACTGTAACTATTAAGTAAGGGATAAAGTACATCCAGGAGGTTGTTATCACAGAGTAAAGCCTGACAGGGTTATCAGTAGCCTAAAGCAGAGCACTGTTGTATATGATTGAATGGTTTATTCTGCGAAAAGCATAGCTGATGGAGTATACACTAACCTGCGCAGTATTCAGACACAAGATGGCGCCAAACAGTCAAAACCACAAAGCTGACAGAAACGAAAACAGCTGATGGAGTATTCACTAACCTGCGCATTATTCAGACACAAGATGGTGCCAAACAGTCAAAACCACAAAGCTGACAGAAACGAAAACAGCTGATGGAGTATACACTAACCTGCACATTATTCAGACACAAGATGGCACTAAACAGTCAAAAACACAAAGCTGACAGAAACGAAAACAGCTGATGGAGTATACACTAACCTGCGCATTATTCAGACACTAGATGGCGCCAAATAGTCAAAAACACAAATCTGACAGAAACGAAAACCGCTGATGGAGTATACAGTAACCTGCACATTATTCAGACACTAGATGGCGCCAAATAGTCAAAAATGCAAAGAAGACAAAAACTAAAACAGCTGATGGAGTATACACTAACCTGCACATTATTCATTCACAATATGGCGCCAAGCAGTCAAAAACTGGCTTATTAATGTGGATGTAAGTACATGGATGTGAACGTATTCGCTGACGGTCAAAGTGATTCTCATTTCCTGGAGGAGTCTGTGTTATTTAGGGATTGTTATCTGGGAATAACATACTTTTTATTGTCACGACTTACCAATCAGAACTGAGGATTTCAGACAGCTCTGTAATGACTATAACTATTATCCAGTTCCGAGCATCCAATAATGCGGAATTTGAATTGTGCAACTTTTCGATCTAGTCAAACTATCGAGGTCATGAAAACAGGATATAGCCGACAATAATTGTAATGAGGGGAAAAGTACATTATATACATATGTTTAAAGCACTTATTATTAAAAGAAAATAGACTTTAACAGAATAAACTGAAGTGTTTACTTAATGAATTGTTTACAGACAGGTAAATGCAATTAAATGAAAGAAGAATATATATATATATATATATATATATATATATATTCATTCATTCATTTTCCTTTGGCTTAGTCCCTTATTTATCAAGGGTCCCCACAGTGGAATGAACCAGCAACTATTTATTATTTTAAATGTTTTACATAGTGGTTGCCCTTCCAGCCGCAACCCTGTACTGGGAAACACCCAAACACACTCATACACTACAGGCAAATTGGTTAATCAATTCCCCTATAACCTATATTTGTTTGGACTGTGGGGAAAAGCGGATCACTCTGGAATAAAGGGACTAGCCAAAGGAAAATGAATGAATGATTAAGTCTATCCAGCAAAAATAATGAACATTAGTGTAATTAAGGAAATGAATGATGTGAAAGCGTCACCTCCGTCACAGCAGGCCCGTTGAGTCCAAATCGGTCTGCGATCATCATGTGGATCTGCCGCTGTCGGTCTTTTTTGCGTACGCTTTCATATGAGGGTAAACGAGGGAGACCCGGATCCAGAGAGGACAGATAATAGCTGCTGGGCACACCGATGAGGAACAGAGAGCCCGACTGAAACACAACACATACAGGTTTTCTCCTTCTTCAAATATTTCCCAAATGATGTTGAAGAGATTCAGGAATTCTTCACAGTATCTCCTGTAATATTTGTTCTTCTGGAGAAAGTCTTATTTGTTTTATTTCGACTAGAATAAAAGCAGTTTTTAATAGTTTTAAAGCCATTTTAAGGTCAATATTATTAGTCCTCTTAAGCAATATTAGTTTTGGATTGTCTCCAGAACAAACCACTGTTATACAATGACTTGCCTAATTACCCTAAATTTACCCTAATTAACCTAATTAACCCTTTAAATGTCACTTCAAGCTGAATACTAGTGTCTTGAACAATATCTATAGGCTAATAATATGTGCTGTCATCATGACTAAGAAAAGAAATCAGTTATTAGAAATGAGTTATTAAATCTATTGTGTTTAGACATTTTTTAATCTCTGCCCTGTCGACTTTTGATGTTGAAATATCAACTCTACAGTTAAACAAAGTGGGGTTTATTCACATTTTAGTGGCTTGAAATAATATAATGTATACTCTAGAGAAATAAGTGTGTAAAATAGCAGAAAATATACAATGTATTTGTAATATACAACACCAACTCAGACAATATATCACTTTAAACTATTAAAAATGTTAATAAAACTCCCTTTTCGGAACTTTTCAAGGTTAAAAGTTGTTGAAAGAAAGATCAAAATCCTATAATGCAGTTCAAATGCATAACTAAATTGGGAAAACATCTCAAACTACGGAAAACTCCTAATTTAGGGTTATTTTTTTTGCATGAAGTCAGATTCAACAAGCCGATAGCTCATGCAGATTGAAAGGTGAGAAGATGATGGCTGATTATTAATGACTTCAGGCCAATCAGGCTCCTGTGTGAATGCCGGCTCAGCAGAACTCCCATGTGAAAGTGCTTACCTGAGCAGTGATGTTATCGTGACCCGCGTCATGATTCTGCTCCACATCAGACGACGTGACCAGAGTCTGTCTGCTGCTGTAGTACTGAGGAGGAGATTCCTGATCAACACACACACACACACACACACACACACACACACACACATGAAGAGCTCTGTTAACATGACAACCTGTGACATCATCAATGACTATGAAGTTTTTTCACAAGACAGTGATCGACAGGGTGCCGGGTGTTTCCAGAGAGTATGGAAGTGGGACAGTAAATTTGACACTGTTCGCTCTTCTGGCTGCATCGAGACGACGACACGGTTTGTTTGTTCATCCATGGCTCGTTATTATATTCCATGTAGTATTTCCATGTAAGGTCTCGGCTTTGTATTAAAAAAAAACATGGCGGTTCCTTTGTTTACGTTCTGTGTAGCTCCACGAACTCGTGACGTATCTCTAACCAATCAGCGTTCAGCTGCACGTGTAGCTCCACCTTTTGGTACCCTTTCTCCCGTTTGGTACCCTTTTGAAAGGGTGCCGAAAAAGTGGTACGGTTTGGTTCGGTATGCTTTTTGACAGTGGAAACGGCCATAATAGCGCACCAAATCGTACCGTACCGTACCACTCAGTGGAAACGGGCCATTAGGTACTGACCAGTCTCAGCTCTTCTCAGCTTCAGTGAGTAACCGGTCTCGGCCTGCAGAGTGATACGGCTGTGGCTAAGGTTAAAGTTTAAAAGTTGTGTGCATACACTTTTTATGCATATTTTCAAAATGTATGCGCATCTTGCTGTTGATATCGGCAGTGATATCTGTGTGATATTTTGGTTAAAGCATGTGGCTTTTCTTTTCTAGTTTGATTTTTAAACCACTACCGATCAGGTTTACAGAAGGTGGGTCATTTTAGGCAAGCTGATATACTATGCGCATGCGGAAGAAAAGTGCGTTAATATTCGCAGTAATAAACACAGCTCCCTCTGGTGGATTTACGAAAAATGGCACGTATGAGAAATCGTGCCACCAGTAACGTATCTGAGATCATCAAAAATGCACATGGCGCCCTCTAGTGGATTTGTGAAAACAAAACTGCAAGAAGACTATTTCGCAGTTCTTGATAATGTATCCCTGGGCACACACACAAATTCCCTTTAAGGCAAGTATTTTCACCCATCTTTGAAACACCTCTCTGTTTGGATAGGGAACATCAAATTCTCCAGAACTGTTTGCCTGGCTCACGATTAAATTTTACATTAGGAATCACCAATAAAATAAACAACAGCTGTCTCTTTAGCTTCATTTCTATACGCTCGAATCACACAAAATCTGCCGAAACATAAGTCTGGACCAAGCCCCTCCTCCTGAAAATTGCCAGTCTATAGCGATCGCTGATTGGCTCCTGTACCAGTGGGCAGGGCTTCATTCACTATATTGATCCTTCAACCCAAGCTCATTCTGAAAACGCAGTCCCGTGGATGTTTCTGGAGACAGCGGAATACGTCCCGGGGGTACGTACGGCCAAAATAACGTCCAAAATAACGTTTCAAGCTAACGCTGCGGGGCGGTGTGACGCTGTTCCCTTTTGCGCTTGCCTTACCTCCTTGTGGAGGGCTTCCCCGCTGTAACCCGTTTGTCCAGTCTGCTCACCGTGTACGTCGGCAGGCTCGAGATGCAGAGAGGAGTCGACCACGGCGACCGGTTTTGAGTCTGGGGAAGAGCGGTTCCAGCAATCAGGTAAGACAAAAACAGAATCCCAAAAATTAAGTGAACGAGTTTCGTGACAGAGTGAGAAGGCAGCGAAATCCGAAAACGCGGTAGAAAACAAATAAATCGGGGCTTTTATTTTTTTGGACGGCTTTTTGTAAACTGTCGCTCGGGTTTAGGGAAGCGAGCCACACTTGCGAGCGGCGTATGAGGTGCGAAAAACCGCACAACAGCGGCCTCTCGCGGATTCGCAAAAACAAAAACTGCAGCCGTACGTACCCGCCGGGACATATTCCGTGGTCTCCAGAAACGTCCGCGGGACTACCTTTCCACAATGAGCCTGGGTTGTGATCGTTACTTTTCCCCATTCAAAACTATAGGAGTGACACGTCTTGTGTATTCTAGTGTCTTTGGCACGCATCCACCAATGCACCTGGGTTGATTTGTAGTGGCCTTTCAGTAGAACTTGTGCCAGTAAATAGCCTTTCCAGGAGTTTGTTATTTTGCTTGTCAAGTACTCATGATGTAATTCACACGTGTGATGTCATCGTTTTCACTACATCATGCTTCTGACATCATGAGACGATAATGGTGTAGTTTTCCGAAATGACCGTGTTTTTCATCCTGACTGCATGTCAGGCGACCAGCCAGCTTGATTTAAAGCCTCACACCCTCCTCTATTGTCGGTGTAATGTCTCTCCTCCTCTTCCTACTCCAGAGTGTCCTCGGGATGGTCGTAAATTACGCCGCTGAAGGGAAGACCACCAAGGCCACTTCCTCCATGATGCCCACCCGTGCAGCTCTAGATTGGGCAGGCGGAGAGGAATTCCTGACACTCACTGATCACCCTCACCTAAATAGAGGGCTTTGTGTCCCGGGACAATGAGAAGTCTTCCTGCGTCATCAGAGTGCCGAGGATATAAACCCCTTGCTGCTGTTTTAAACGTCTGCCTGTGTTTCACACACTTGTTTCTGTGGCAGGTACTAGTAAACCAGTGCACTGTGTTTTATTGGCCATGTGTCACCCGGACAGCATTACTAGTCATTAGTTCACAAGCTGAACGACACCAGCAGAGAGGGGTCCGAAACTAATCAGGGCTCGAGGGGAAATGGACTGTAAGTGATACAATGACCAACAATCAGCGTCTGTTTGCTTCACTGCATTACTTTAAATTACTGCCTGAATTCTTGACATTTTTACATTTTTTTATCTATTTAAAGACTGTGTTAGTGATCGGCGGGTCTAAAACATGCACAAACGTTGCTCATTACACACGGAGGGATGCGCTGCAGCAAATAAACAACTTTAAACATGAAAAAAGGGACATTTAAATTAGATTTTAAAAAGCCTTCTTCACCTCTGGAAGCTTTGGCGAATCTGGCTCCTTCTGTAGATGGTCTTTTACTTCGCACATGTTATGATCAAAAGCAATCTAGTGGCTGGGGATTGCTGGAGAACATGCCACGCTTATGAACTACAACTCCCAGCATGCACCTCGCACACACTAGTTCCTGATGGGTACATCTTGCAAACAACATAGTTTTGAGATGTGGGTCTCAATAACTCTAAGTTATGCCTCGACTACAAGTTACGCCCCTGTCTTGGAGTCTGCAGACAGACCCTACTCCATTTTTTCAGCTGATTTTAACAAAACATTTTGATAATAGCAACAATTTTGGTCGCTAAAATCATCAAATGAAATTTCACTGTAAAAAAAAAATGCTGGGTTCCACCTAATTATTTCATGCAGTTAACTTAATCGTTTTTTTCCAAATTTAAGTAAATTAAACAAACACAAGTTAGTTGACCCTAAAAAACCCAAGAATTGTGTTCATTCAGCTCATTCTAAATAAGTAGTTTGAACAAGCAGCACATTTTTTTTAGTACCATTACATTACCTGTATACTACCGTATGTCCTCTAGGATTTTTTCCACCTGAGGCGGCAATCCTTTTTTACACAGATCTACCAACTACCTGGGGCGTTATTTCAATGACAAACGTCGCAGGCGCAGTATCACAATTCGAAACCGCATTTATAATAGCCTACGAGCATGCAAATCTCTTTGCTTGCACGCTGATTTCCTCTGCTCATGCACAAAACTTCATGCGCGCACCCCCAAATATACGCTGCTCAATCGCAGATCTTCTTGTGCGCTCTCAAATAAACGCTGCTAAAGTGCGATTTAGTGCATTTACCTAACAATGTCTCTAAAATTTATTAGATTTGCTAGGAATAGTTATGAATGTCTCCAATAGACCTACAGTGCGGCATTTATAATAAAGTGAAACGGCTATACGTCGTGTTTGCTGGCCTCATGCATCACGCACCTGTCAGTCAGCCAGTCAGTCAGCATGTAACCTTAAAGGGTTAAACAAATGACGCACAGCACTACTACGGTTACAGAAAAGTTTGCATTGTTATAATTCATTTACCTTTTAATACGTTTTAGTGCGATTATCACCCGCTATTAAAACACACGACTCAATGTTTTGAATGGAAAGCTGTAATGTAGCTGCAATGTCGCCCCGCCATGGAAGAATGAATGTAGCGGAAACCATGTACTATATACCTGCAGGTTAACTATGTTAATATATATATAACTTTAATATATATAACTTTAACTGTTAAACGCTATTAGTTACTAGTTAATTAGTTCAAGTTATTAGTAAATAATATAGTTATGTTAATTAATAATTAGGCATACACTGTATCTGTGCGCACAGAAATCCGCAGATTCATAGCACATCGAGTCTATTTATTTACTTATTGTAAGTTTGTGTAAATCTATATTTATTCAGTTTTTTTTAATGAATTACAGTATTATTATTGACTAATATGAAAAGATAATTTGATTTATTTACAATACAGTTTGTACAGTAATATTTTCTGTCTTTTAGTGGAGATATTATATGAGAGACTTGCTTTGTTTACCAAACAGGTGTATCTATTGGTGGTATTACTTCTGGTTCCAATATTTCCACCAGTTTCTCCTGTGACATCGCTGGCTCGCACATTAAAACATCTACTTCTGTAAAAAATGTAGGTGTAATCTTAGAGAATACTGACTACTTTATCTGATCCACCTCGACTTAGCTCATATGTCTCTTAGGTCTTGTTTGTGTAATTCCAGTTTGTTATATTTGACTTCATGTATGTTTGTTTATCTTTTTGTTGCATTCCTTGTAAAGTGTCCTTGAGCTCTGGAAAGGCGCTATATATAAAAATAAATAAATAAATAAATAAACAAATAAATAATAATATTAATAATATTAATAATAACACTAATAATAATAATATTATTAATAATAATAATAATAATAATAATAATAATAATAATAATAATATTATTAATAATAATAATTATAATAATAATAATAATAATATTAACAACAACAAAAATAATAATAA